CAGGTCAAGACTTAAAACAACGCTTAGGGCTTTTTTCTTCTCTTTGATCAGGTGGTGTTTTCTCTGGCCTGTATTCTTCCCTTTAAATACCCTGCAGTCCTGCCTGAAATCACTGTCAGGTGTGTTACAGGAGCTGGCTAACTTCAGAGTTCAAAATTAATTGGGTGATAAAAGCAATTCTTGAGTTTGTTTTCTGTCCCAAGAAAATTGATTTAATTTTTTTCTCCCATATATTTTGTACCAGGTCACTATTGTTAAGTAGATCCCAGCAGGCTCAGCTGAACACAGATCTGACCGCACACCTGCAGAAGAATTGTCTCGGAGATGTCTGTGTGTTGCATGCCACTGACTGGGTGAGAGAACATGCCCCTGGCTATGTCAGCAGAGACACCGCCCCTCTTCCCGCTCCAGGAGGTGCAGTCCAGCCCATCCTTCTCGTTCTCACGAGACTCTGGATCTATAGCCATCACATCTACAACAAAAGCAAAAGAAAGCATATTCTGGAGTGGGCGAAGGAGCTTTCCCTGTCTGGGTTCAGCATGCCAGGGAAACCAGGTGTTGTCTGTGTGGAAGGCCTACAAAGTGCCTGTGAAGAATTCTGGTCCAGGTTTGCTCTCACAAATTTTGTGTTCTATGTCCGTCATTTTAGTGCTGAACTAGAACTGGAGATCTAGAACTAAGTGTGACCCTGAGGGTGTATCTCGTGGGAATTCAGCCTCAAGTCAGTGAATCAAATAGAACTCCCGTGTGGTCAACATCACATCCCTTACCTGACCCAGTGCACCTGGGAGATGTCCGTAAGCAGATGCCAAACCAAGGCCCTCCATCCCCGTGGAGCCGATCCTTCCCTCATCTTGAGCCGTGTATTCTCTGTGAAACACGGAAATTTCTAATTGTCTCATTTCTCCACAGACACCCTTGAGTGAGTTTCTGAGAAGTCCCTTTTCGGAGGTTGAGATTCAGCAATTTCCACATCAGTGATAATGGCAATAAATGAGTTTGGGGATAGGGTTATGACTAGAATCATATTTGATTAAAATACATCCCTGACATAAAAGTGAAAAGGTTTCTTCACTTCTAGGGCAATATTTTCAGTGGCCTAGAATGCACAACATAGTTTCAAATTTTCTACTTTGAAAATTTATTTTCAGGCTCAGAAAATTAAACTGGAAGAGAATTTTGATTCGCCACCGAGAAGACATTCCTTTGGATGGCACAAATGATGAAATGGAAAGACAAAGAAAATTTTCAGGTTTTGAAGAAAAAGTGTTCAGTGTTAATGGAGCCAGAGGAAACCACATGGACTTTGGTCAGCTGTATCAGTTTTTAAATGCCAAAGGGTGTGGGGAGGTTTTCCAGATGTTCTTCGGTGTGGAAGGGCAATAACTGAGTAGAGGAGCAGTTGAAAGTACTTTGTCACTGTTAGCCACTTGTTTTTTTTACCCACTCTTTCTTGAAACATTAATTTTACTTCCATCCCATTCTAGAATGTTAGGGGTAAAAAAGAAAAAGTAGTACAGCTGAAGTGCATCTGTTAAAAATATGTCCTGGTCGAAAACAGAACTGAGTTTTAAGTTATAATCTTAAAATTATTGACAGGAATTTCTTGCTATATATATACCATTTTGAAAGAGAAATTAATTTGACTGGAGTTAGATTGTGTTGGTGACCCATCTTGCCACCCATTCTCCACCCCTGCCCTTTCCCTTCCACCGTGAGCTCTCCCGGCCTCTCGGGCAGCTCGGGTGACTTTGGCTGGGGGACACCTGGGAAGACTTTTGCTTCCTGACTGACACGATGGACACAGCGAGGGCACCTTTGCTCCCTCTTCCTGCAGCAACGCTGCGGCGGCTGCTGGAGCTGCAGTAGTCCCTTCAGCCATGAGGGCAGTAGGGGCCCGGAGAGCTGCTGAGATGCCACTGCGTGTTGTCAAGCTGCGCCAGCCCCTGCCTATCTCTAGACAGCTTGTTGTGAAATAAAAACAATTTTACATACATTTGTGTGCCTCTTTAAAAAAAAACTAATCCTCACTGAGAACATGCTTAGAGAGGGGAAGGGTGTGAGAGAAACATCGATGGGGTGCCTCTCATACACGCCCTGACCGGGGACTGAACCTGCCATCTAGGTATGTGCCCTGGCCAGGGATCGAACCTGCAACATTTGTGGTGACTGGACCACTCTCCAACAGAGCCACAGCGGCCAGGGCTGTTTGTGTGCCTCTTACTAGCAGTTGAAAGCTATTTTGCCAAACATATTTTTTTCAAAGCTCTAGTTTTACATCTACCTCAAACATTTGATAAGTAGGTGAAGTTTTTCTTGTCTTGTTTAAAGATTTTATTTCTTTTTTTAAGAGAGAGGAAGAAGGAGAAAGAAGCATTGATGAGAGAGATTAAATCAACCAGTTGCTTCACACATGGCCCCCACTGGGGACCTGGCCTGCAAGCCAGGCATATGCCCTGACTGGGAATCAAATCCGTGACCTTTCAGTCTGCAGGCCAGAGTCACAGCAGCCAGGACGAAGCTTCTCTTCAGTGGAGTTTGCCACTCCACTCGGCTTTTACACACTTTCGTTCCACTCGGGCTTGCCTCACAGAAGGCTGCTGAGGTGTGAGCAGAGCTCACACCTTTTAACAGGCCTCAGCCGCGCTTCAAACTGGTAACGTAGAGAACTCGTTTTTGGCCTATTGGATTTTAACAATTTTTTTTCTTATTCAGAAATGGTTTTCTGTAAACTTCGTTTCAGCAAGTTGACCTGCAAAGACACACAGCCTGGTTTTGGAGGCCCTCCAACAGCTAGCTCCAAAAGTGCTTACTAAGGATTTCTTTGCTGTTTCTTTGCTAGCTTGCTGGCACTCGGGTTGATGCTGTGTTGGGTGTTCCTTGACGTGTGAGACTTGGTTAGAAGAACGGTGTTAGTGGGTAAGAGGGACACAATGTATTGGCCATCTTAGTCATGCGTTGCAGGCATCCTGTGTGCCCACCAGTGAAAGTCAGCAGGAAGGAAGAACTAAGGAGGCGGTGGTGGAGCTGTTCCTGAAAGGGCGAGGGCGCACTGCTCTGAGGGCGTCCGGGGAGAGCCCTGTGCTCCTCCCTGGACTCCCTCCTTCCTGCCCCCGCCCCTCTGCCATATCCGTGGCCACCACCCTATCAGAAGGGCCAGCCCCTTGACTCTGGCTTCGGACTCCCCCGGCCACTTGCAGATTCGGATGGACACCCACCACGCATGGGATCTGACACCGCGGGAGGCCACCAAAAGGGCCAGGTGCTGCACCTACTACATTCCGCAGGATTAAACTGCTAAAGCGTTTTCATTTATTACTTATTAATAACACTTATTTTACAAAGATTTTATTTATTTTTAGAGAGAGGGGAAGGGGGGGGAAAGAGGGAGAGAAATATCAAAGTGTGGTTGCACCTACTGGGGATGCGGCCCGCAACCCACGCATCTGCCCTGACCGGGAATCCAACGTGAGCCTTTCATTCTCAGGTCGGTGCTCAATCCACTGAGCCACACCAGCTAGGGTTTTCTTTCTCTCTTTCTTTCCTTTTTTTTTTTTTTAAGAAAACTATTTCAGTATACCAGGGGAACCCAACGGAGTATGTCCTTAGTGAGTTTCCGGAAAGACGACAAGGCAGCCGAGAGTTAGGGACACACACGCCCGATTACACAAGTCAGCATAAACTGCGCCCATCGAAGCTGCAAGGGGCACCAGGAGGCTCCCACTGAAGCACAATCTAGCGATCCGACGCCATGGGTCCGGACAGGAAAATGAACTTCAGTACTTGTTTAAGGAGAAAAAAAACATTAATGTGGGGAATTGGTTAAAGGGGATTTTAAAAGCCAAAAGAGGTCACGGAGGTCTTCACCGCAGCCGCAGCTCCTGTCCCTGGGGCGTGGTGAGGAGGGGAGGGGGGACGGGGGTGATCAGAGTAGTTTGCAGGAGGCCCCGGCAGCTGTAGCTCGGTCCCCGTCGTGAAGAGAGGGCGGTGCCCGGCTGTGGAGGGTGTCCCGGAGCTCAACAGAGGGACCTGCGGAGTCGGGTGCGGACCTCTGAGCAGAAGCTCAGACCCAGACCGGCTAGGACCCAGGCCACCGGGGGGCGGGTGCTGCCTGCTGCCCCTGGCTCCCCGAGGTGCGCCGTGAGGCCGGTGTCACGGTTTAAAGGGCAGGACACTGAGACCCGCTGCTGCCTGACGCGGTTGGTGTGCCCGGGGCGAAGGCCGCTGCCGGGGCCACGCGGACAGAGAGGGGCTGGCCCAGCGCCTGCCGAGGAGCCAGCCGAACGAAGGAGCTTGCGGAGCTCGGTGTCCTGCCGTTGAGCACCGGAGGGAGTGTGGACACGCGAGGCCGTCACCCGCATCACGCGCTTGTTTGCCTGGTGATGCTCAGAAGCAAAATCCCCAACCGCGAGATCCGTGCGTTTCAAAATTAGGACTGCCGCACTACGCTTGTTGAAAAAACTGCACGTTACCGTCACAGTGCGAAAAGGTGTGAACTCAGGGGCAACGCTGCCTAGTAGAGCACTGCTGCTCAAGTCCTAACGAGGCCTGGAGGTCTGCTCTCCAATGCAGACGCTGCCGTAACAGTCGCGAGCGGGCCCGAAAGCCTGCGTTTCCTTCCAACGCCCACCGACACTCCTGACTGCGTTCTAAAGGGCCCAGCCGGTCCGCGTCTCCACGTCGCGGACTGCCACGTCGCGTCGTTCTGCCGCAACCCGGGGTCGAAAACGCCCCCCCGCCGCACGTGCCGGCCTCCCCTCCGCGGAGTCGGGAACCCACGTCGCCTCCCGCGACCGCGGAAGCACGGGTTCGGCGCCGTGGTCCAACGCTCGGCCGCCGATTGGACAGAGTTGACGTCAGTCAGACAGGCGCGGCTCCAACTGTGACGCGAGGCCGCCTGGGAGTCGAGGCCTCCGCGGGAGCCGAGAGCTGAATCGGGGCTGCGGAGGGCGTGGGTAGGTGGCGGAAGGGGAGGGCCGGGGGAAAGTTCTTCCGTGAACCACTTCCGGCGACAGAGCCGGAAGTTGTGGTCCAGCCGTTTCTACCGGGGGCTGCGGCTGAGAGTGCGGCGAGAACGCGGCCATGGGCGGGAAGAACAAGCAGCGGACCAAGGGGAACCTGAGGGTGAGCGCGAGGTGGCAGGGCCGAGCGGGGACGTGCGCAGCGGGGCGGCGTGGGCGGCGTGGGCGCGTGTGGGGCATGACCTCCCGGAGCGCGTCCCCGCTGGCAGGTGGTGTCCAAGCAGGTGGCCGGGCTGGCAGAGCGGAGGCGCTCCGCGCCGAGCTGCCCCCGCGCACACACTTCTCGTTAACTGACGCTTCAATGGCGGTTTCAGCGGGAGGCTGCCTGCGGGGCTCGAGCCGGCGGCCTCGGACCCGGAGATCCGGAGTCGGCGATCTCCGGGTCGCGGGGTCGCGGCGGGGCTCCGGGTCGCGGCTGAAGCCCCGGCCCTCCCCGCCGCCTCCGTCCATTCTGCGGCCACACGGACCCCTCACGGGACCTGGGCTTCTTTATTTAACTCATGTCCTCAATGTTTTGTCTTTGAAATAGTCCCAGTATAAGCAAAAGAACATGACAGTGACAACCCACCTAGTCTCTACCTAGAGTCACCAGCTGTTAATATTTGATCACATTTGCTTTCCCTGTATAAGGATTGCATTTTGTTGAGCCTTATGAGAATTGCAGAAAGTACAACGACTCCTAAATCGGGTGTATTCTAAAAATATTGCCGTTCTTCTACGTGACTATGAACAGTTACAACGCCGGCGAAAATTTAACTTCAGTATAATACTGTTAGCTAATAATATATATACAGCATTGCATTAAGATTTCCGTAGTCATCTCAGCAATGTTTTCTATAACTTTGTTTTTAGGAATAGCATTAAAAAAGCATGTAGTATCCAGTCTGGGATCACTCGTGCCTTTTACTTAGTTAGCTCTTGACAGTTTCCCAGCTCCCTGCCCATGCTGCCCCCCCCCCCGCCCCCGGACTTTTATGGGGAAGAGCCTAGGCCAACTGTTACGCATAATTTAAAATTGTCTATTTGTTTCTTATGATTAGATTCAGGTTAGCAGTTTTTGACAGGAATGCGTCATGGATGAAGCACCTCAGTGCCTCACTGCGGGGACGCATGTGCTTGTTTGTCCTGGTGTTGGTGGTGTTGGTGGTGTTGGTGTAATCACTTGGGGATGTCAGCTTTTCGATTGCCTATCAGAATAATAGGTGGAGTGAGTGATACCTTGAGCCTGGCAATATCCTGTTCTCGCCCACAAGCTTTCATCTAATGGTTTTAGCATTCTTTGATGATAATTGCTGGAATCAGTTATTACTGCGCTGATTAAAAAAACTTATATTTAACCCTGAGAATGATTATCTTGACAAATAACGATTTAGCTACAGTTATTTCATTTTAAATATGATGGTACTGAGTTTTAGAGAAATTTACCTGAGCTCATGAACGGGGAAGTTGCAGAGCTGGGATTTGAATGGCAGTCGTTGATTTAGCAGACGACTTCAAATCCTGAATGCAGCGTACTCAAGGGTGATAGACAGATGTCCCCTTTTCTTGATGATAGAAACAGATAAGTATGCAGATAACTGTAATGTATCAGGGAATGTTGATAGAGGTATGAGCAGAAAGGAAGTGGAAGAACAGAAAAGAAGGGACGGCTATGTTTTGAAGGATGAATAGGAGTTTGTCAGACAATGAAAAGGAAGGAGAAGTTTTTAGGTGGAGAGACAAGATTGTGCAAAGACCAAACCGTGAAAAGGGCAGGGCATTATTTCAGGGACCCTTTAATTCAACTTGGTACTGGAACATAAATCGTGGCAGCTCTTTTGGAGCAAGAGAGAAAGCAGGTGGTAGAAGAACAGAGTGGAAATGGCAGAGGTGAAGTGGTGAAAGATCTGTCCTGAGTTTGGGATTTAAACTGTAGACAGAACTGTGCCACCTCAAACACCTATGGAAGTCAGGCACAGGAGAATGAAGCAGATGTAGTACAAGAAAATTAACTGCCAGAAATAGAATCAAGTTTCTTTTTGAACTGTGGGTATAATATCTAACACACAGTAGAGTAAATAATAAGAAACAGTAACTATATTTTAAACTCACAGTAGACATTGCATAAAAGATATAACCAGTACATTCAGAAAATAATTTGTTACTTTTAAATTGGAAACCTGAAGTTGGTACCTTCTGATCCTACTTACCACTGTCTAGCTGTGATAATTCAGGTCAGTTCAGAATTCAGTCTTGACCCCTTTAGCTTTCAGCAATTATTTCTTTTTTATACTACTTCATTGTTCTGTTTCCTCATAAAGAAGTTTACAAATGGGATTGCAGATGAAATTCTGATGTACTAAGGTCATCATATTTAGTTTTCAGAATTGTAGTTCACTAACTTCCTTTGTAGCTCTTTGAATAATGTTCACTTTAATAAAGTTTTAAAATAGAGAACCATTTTTTTTTGCAATTAGTCTTAAATGCTCTTGTTTTAGTAAAGAAATGTAATTCAAGCCATCATTTTCATTTCTGATCATTCATTTCAGTTTGAACGTAGTCCAGATTTTTCCTTGACATCAGTTTTCCACACACAATTTTGCTAGGTTTGAGCAAATTGAATCACACATTTGGATAAACCTTTTTGAACATTCTCATAGAGAAATAAGAAACAGGTTTAGGTAGGTGGTAATGTCATCCTGGACATTGAACTGGGGCATTTTTTTCTTAGATGACAATATCTTAATTTCTTGTAGCAGTTCAAATATTTTTTGTCACAACTAATCCCTTAATTTTTAGTACGAGGAGTCTGCTACATTGTGTATCAGTCAGACAGACCACTGATTATGGTTCAAAACAAAGTAATGTATCTTAATAGCCTAACCATCATGTGGGTTTCTATGTCCATAATAATGTTAATTGTAACCATTTTAGCTCAAAGAAGTTTGAGTATGTGGCAGTGAGTGTGTCTGTCCTCAAGGAGTTCCTAGTCTGGAAACAGCTATAGTTAGACTTGTTCCATTGTGGTTACTTAATAAATATTTGCTGAATGAATGGGTGATCCATTTCAGTCAATTGTACATCATTACGCAGTGCACATACTATTTATACAGAAGTTGGAAATAAAACATTTTATAAAACAGTACTTAGGATTACCATACATGATGCTTTCTCTGATTTTTAATATTTTATTCTATGTCTTTAAAATGCTCTTGTGACTGATTAACTCGATACCATGAGCACCTAATGGATTGTACCCAGTTTAAAAAACATTTTTCTGATGTTTAGAAAACCAGAAAATACCTCTTGGGATCATTATTGATAACTTCTTGCTGATAGAAACATTTATCTTTGGGAAACATTGTAATACATGAAATCTTAGGCTAAGAAAAAAACTCAGAAGCGTGTTCTGTCATGGGGATTATCAAGGAATTATACTCTAAAGAACTCAAAGTTAAATTTGGAACTCTTCTTGGACTCTGACATTTTTTTTTCTCTACTTTCTACCAGCCTTCAAACAGTGGCCGAGCTGCAGAACTTCTTGCAAAAGAACAGGGAACTGTGCCTGGATTTATTGGTTTTGGGACATTCCAGAGTGACCTAGGCTATGTTCCTGCTGTTCAAGGAGCTGAAGAAATTGATAGTCTTGTAGATTCTGACTTTCGAATGGTCCTCCGGAAACTTTCTAAGAAAGATGTCACAACAAAATTAAAAGCAAGTTTTATTGTGTTCATAAATTTTCTTAATAACATAGTCCTTTTATTAAAATATCATTGCCATATTTTGTGTAAAGGAAAATGAATCACCACACATAATTTCTTTTACAGTTGTACTTTTTTCTGACACACAGGCTTAAGCTGAGCTTTTACTTATCTTCTAGGTTATAAATTAATGTGTTATTCTGTTCATTTTGAACACTTTGGATTTCTGGCTGTATACTTTTACTTCCATTAGAGAATGTAATTTGACCCTATAATTTTAAATGGGATTTTTTGTTTGCATCTTTATTTATTTAAAAAATTTTTAAACTTGTTTTCAGAGAGAGGGGATGGGAGAGAGGGAGAGGAACATTGATGTGCAAGAGACACATCCATGTGCGGTTGCCTCTTGTGCACGCTCAACTGGGGACCTGGTCCACAGCCCAGGCATGTGCCCTGAGAGGGAATCGAACTGGCAACCTTTCAGTTTGTAGGCTGAAAGGTCTACGTGGATTGGTGTGCTCGATCCATTGAGCCACACCAGTCAGGGCCGCATGTATTTTATTTTTTAAAAACAGCTGAAAAGTTTCTACCATACTAAGCATGTAAAGGAGCTCTTTAAATTTGTTCCATGTAGCACAAACAGAAACAGTGTATTCTCCCATTACATAAAATAGACAAAGCTTCCAGAGCAGAATAAATATAGACAATAGTCAATATTATGGCTGTCGATCCTTAACAATGTTAATAATTTACTTTCAGGCTATGCAAGAATTTGGAACCATGTGTATAGAGAGAGATGCAGAAATTGTAAAAGGGGTTCTTCCATACTGGCCAAGAATTTTTTGCAAAATTTCACTTGTAAGTATTAAGACTTGACTGGCTTATTTCTGTTGTATGTATTTGATTGAAATTATGGGGACTGTCAGATATAGATGACATTGGTGGTGAAGGTTATGAAATGTTATGTTGGTATTGTTACACAGTTTGGGTCATTGGGTTGTGTAAAGTGTGTAGGGAATTTGTTGTGTTTTCCAAAATTAGGTCAGAGTTACCCAGATGCTTTCCAGTCACAATAAATTTTGGCAATTTAATTTCTTTGTATATTTGCTCCAGAAGAATGAGAACCAATTGCTTAATTGCTTAAGGCCTAGTCTTAGCTCTAGCTTTAATACAGTTCTCATCTCATTGGGAAAAGGAAAAAATAATCAATTTCTTTACATAGTTATTGATTTTTTTTGTCCAGCTCTGTACATAATTGAATTCTTATTAATGGATTATCATAGCATATTCCAAAATATCTATATCTGTTTTAATAGAGTGATTTTAAACCATATTATACTTGCAATAGGACCATGACCGCCGGGTTCGAGAAGCCACACAGCAAGCTTTTGAAAAACTTATCCTCAAAGTTAAGAAACACCTGGCTCCTTATTTAAAAAGTGTGATGGGCTATTGGCTCCTGGCTCAGTGTGACACTTACCCACCTGCTGCATCGGCAGCAAAGGATGCCTTCGCAGCCGCCTTCCCCCCCAGCAAGCAGCCTGAGGCCATAGCGTTCTGTAAGGATGAGATTGCAAGTGTAAGTCCTGGGAACTGTTCTCAGCTTTTCCTTAAGTGTTCAAGGGACAGCAGGCATATCACAGTGACAGCTGTTCTACCTGGCAGTATGAGGGAGTGTGTGAGTGAAATGTTTCCAACCGAAGGTTGTCTTTTTAAAACAGTGTTTAACACAGTTGTTCATATTGCATTCTGTTTACTTTTTAAAAATATTTATTTATTTATTTATTTTAAGGAGTGGAGGGAGAAAGAGAGGGAGAGAAACACAATGCGCGAGGGATACATTGGTCAGCTGTCTCACGCCCCCAGCTGGGGACCTGACCCGCAACCCAGGCGTGCACCTGGACCGTCCTTTGGCGACCCTTTGATCTGCAGGCCGGTGTTCAGTCCACTGAGCCCGTGTTGTATTTTAACTACAATTAACATGTTGTATTGCATTTTTCTAAATTATTTAAATTTTCCCTCTTTAATTTATAAATCTTAATTTATCATATTACCTAAAAAATTTAGGTATATGCTTTATAGTATATAATCTAAAAAAAGAATACATCTAAAAATTCATTCTAAACTTATTTTCCCCCATATCTTCCCATTAATACATGTTTACAGATTCACTCTTTTTGCTGGCTCTGCGGTATTCCTTTGTATGAATATATAGCAGTTTAGTTAACTTTTTAAAACATACATTTGTAGTTTTACCCTGATGTCTTTATTACAAAGTTTAGCGGACTTTTTTGAATAGATCACTTCATACTTGGTGGGAGTGAAAAGTACCAGCACTTTTAGTCACCATTCGTTGGGTCAAAGAATAAGCACAGGTACCGTTTTCACAGATGTTGGTAAATTGCCCCTCAGATGGCCTTACACATCTCCCCCACTAGCCTGTGTGGGAGTTTCTTCAGCTCTCGGCCCAGACTTGGACCAGACTGGTGTCAGCCTTCACTTCTGTGGCTTTTGGTTTTTGTGTATCTGGTTTTCCTCATTTCTTCCCTCCTTACTGTCCGTAAGATACGGACTGGCAAGACCAGATGGCTAAGCTTCTTGACATTATGTGAGGAAATGGAGTACGGAAGGAACTGAAGATTGCAACAATGTGTGCCTGCACTCGTTCCCTCTGTGGAGCCCCTGTGCGCTCACAGCTCTGTGTCTGTCCCTCCCTCCGTCCTCCTTCCAGTGAGTGGGCCTTGCCGCGGGTTCCTGTTACCCGTGCCGGCTTGGACTCCTGAGCTCCTCCCCCGACACACACGAAGTCCCCCTTGCCCACTTGGTTCTTGGTTTTCCCGTTCTTCCTTGCTCAGGTGTACCAAGTTGTCTTTCTAGGGAGAGGATGTGTACCTTTAACCATCTTCTCAGAGGCAGTTCTCTAACCCAGCTACAGGTTAAGAGTCATTGTCTTATTTAAATATCAAGTGGTAACTGTTACGAGAGTGAAGTGTCATGAGTTTAGACACTAAGAGTTTTAGAAAATGGATTTTGAGACAACTGATTTGGCTCTTCATAGTTTCTGTTTGTGTGTTGTTGTTTTTTAAGATTTTATTTATTTATTTTAGAGAAAGGGCAAGAGAGGGAGATAAACATCAATATGTTGTTGCCTCTCGTGCGCCCCCTACTGGGGACCTGGCCCACAACCCAGGCCTGTGCCCTGACTGGGAATTGAACCGTTGACTTTTCCGTCTGCAGGCCAGCATTCAATCCACTGAGCTATACCAGCCAGGGTGAGGGGGACAGTTCTTGATGGAAACTGCAGGTGCTTGGAGAAGTGCCCTATCCTTCTTGCCTCAGTAGCAGCCAACCTTGGGGATGGTAGGGAAAGAAAAATAAGTAAAGTTCAAACCTTTTAGTGTTGCTACTTAATTTAGTTTCTTTTGTTGGGAAAGGTTAAGAAAATTCTAGATCAGATGAGGCTTATGCTCTCTCCAATCACCATTGGCAGTGCAGTGAAATCTCAAGGTTTGGGATTTTCCCTCTGCAGGTGCTGCAGGATCATCTGATAAAAGAAACACCCGACTCCCTCAGTGACCCGCAGTAAGTTGTATCTGCGTAACTCCTGTAAGGATTTGTTTTACTTACGGGTCATAACGTGGTCATCTTAACGTAGTGTTTTTAAAGGGGTGTTACATGTAGAGATGAAAATGCCTAATACGGTGTGCTGTGTGCCATGTGCCATTGTAAGAGCGTCTCCTTGCCAATTGTCTTGCTGTTTAAGTTGAATTGTCTGGGAGCCACATATTTGGTTCTTTTTCAAAGAGATACTTTTAGATTTTTCCTACATTCACCTTTTGATGGTCATAGCCAGGGACGTTTTAAGGTCTTGTTGAAAATAGTTGAAAAACTGTCAGTGGTTCTACTGAAAAAGTAGTGAAATGTTCCCTTCACTTTTATTATGTTCTGATCAGACTCTTACGAGTCCATAGGGAAAGCCATCTCAGGTGCATTAACACCCATGCTCCTCTGTGTACCCCCGCCGCGAGCAGGGGGTGCACACTTGCTTCGGCCACGGCTCTCCGTGTACTTTCACCTGGTATTCTGTGGGAGGATGCGACTGAAGTTCTGGGAGTGATCGTATTTTGAGGGGGGTTGGCACAAGAAGAATCGAATAGAGAAATAAAGCAACTTTGGTAGGCACTTAATGATAAAACATTTAAAATAGTGCCAAATATATCGTTTTGCTTACAGTCAATCCTTATACATATTTCTCCTATTTTCAAATAAGAACTGTTCCAGAGGAAGAGAGAGAAGCTAAATTCCACCGGGTCGTAACGTGCTCCTTGTTGGCCCTGAAGAAACTGCTCTGCCTCATCCCAGAGCACGAGCTTGGGTCTCTGGAGGAGAGGTTTCGGTCTCTCCTGTCCCAGAACAAGTTTTGGAAGTATGGAAAGCACAGTGTGCCTCAGGTGGCTTCGTCTTTCTTTTCTAAGACACTTCTCTGAGTCCGTTCTTTTTCTCCTGCTTGCGTCAGTTTATATTTATGCTTTATGTTTATTGTTAATGTTTAAAACTTTACAAATATATCTTCGTGGCGGGACCTCATTGCCCCTCCTTCCGGAATGTTACTGTATTTTCACTTTTGTATTTGTTAGGACTTCAGATTGAGAGTTGAATTGTCATGCTCCATTCCTGGCACCTTGATTGAAATTGTTGGCATGTGCAAGTCTGTTCTCATTGAATGTATTTATTTATTTTTCCTGTTTTGTTTCTGTTTTTGGTTTTCCTTTTAGATCCGCGCTGCTTATTTTGAGTTAGTTTCTGCTTTGTGCCAGCGCATTCCACACTTGATGAGGGACGAAGCATCACGAGTGAGCTCCTCTGTCCTACTCAGCATTGACGACAGTGACCCCATTGTGTGCCCGGCCCTCTGGGAGGCTGTGCTGTATACCCTGACGACTGTTGAGGTAGGTGTGGGAGGTACGCTCAGTGTGTCTGGGAATACCTGTCTTAGAGCCACGATTTTTCAGCCTTTGTCATCTCATGGCACATGTAAACTAATTACTAAAAATCTGCAGCACGTGCCCTGACTGGTGTGGCTCAGTGGATTGAGCACTGGCCTGTGAACCAAAAGGTCACCGGTTCAATTCCCAGTCAGGGTACGTTGGGAGCGCATGAGAGGAAACCAGCTGTTGTTTCTCTCTCACCCTTCCTTCTCCTCTCTCTGAAAGTAAATGAATAAAGTATTTTTTAAAAATCTGTGACACACCAAAAAATGTATTTTTTGCCAATCTGACCAAAAAGTAGGTATAATTTTCCTTCATTCACAGCAGATGGCTACTGTTGTGATGGCTGTTGTCATTTTTTACATTGACTAAGGGAAAAGAGGTCAGTGCCTTTGGCTAAATAGTCAGGCACTGCATGTTTTAAAAATTTTTGGCAGCACATGGGTTGAAAATCGCTATCTTAGAGACTTTTAGGTTATACTGTCTAAAACTTAGCAGAAAAAATGCTTTCTTGGAAATAAAATACTTAATCCAAAACTTGATATAAATCTAACCTGACTGTAAAATGGCAGAGGGTCTTTATTTACTTTCCGTTTAGCTGGTTCTGCGTGTCCCGGTGCGGCCCATTGAAGCAGGCCCCTCGGACTCTCCGGTGTAGGGTCAGTGCTGCTGTCCCTTTAGAAGGCAGCTTTGTGTGAACATTTTAAGTTAGGTAACTATTTCTGGTGACTGTGATCCCAGAAGCCTGTGGGATATGTGATTACTGTATATAATAAATGTCTTATCATTTCAGAGTTTTAGTTTCTTTTTTTTTAAATATATTTTATTGATTATGCTATTACAGTTGTCCCATTATCCTCCTTCATTCCCCTCTGCCCTGCACACCCTCTCCCACCCGCTTCCCCCCTTTTAGTCCATGTCCATGTGTCATAAGTTCTTTAGCTTCTACATTTCCCATACTATTCTTGCCCTCCCCCCGTCTATTTTCTCTCTCCACCATCCATGCTACTTATTCTCTGTACCTTTCCCCCTCTCTCCTCCTCCCACTCCCCTGTTGCTAACCCTCCATGTGATCTCCATTTCTGTGGGTCTGTTCCTGTTCTAGTTGTTTGCTTAGTTTGTTTTTGTTTTTGTTTTAGGTGTGGTTGTTAATAATTGTGAGTTTGCTTTTATTTTCCTATACATGTTTTTTATCTTCTTTTTCTTAGATAAGTCCCTTTAACATTTCAGAAAATAAGGGCTTGGTGTTGATGAACTCCTTTAACTTGACCTTATCTGAGAAGCACTTTATCTGCCCTTCCATCCTAAATGATAGCTTTGCTGGATAGAGCAATCTTGGATGTAGGTCCTTGCCTTTCATGACTTGGAATACTTCTTTCCAGATCCTTCTTGCCTGCAAGGTCTTTTTTGAGAAATCAGCTGACAGTCTGATGGGAACACCTTTGTAGGTGACTGTCTCCTTTTCTCTTGCTGCTTCTAGGATTCTCTCCTTCATTTTTACCTTGGCTAATGTAATTATGATGTGCCTTGGTGTGTTCCTCCTTGGGCCCAACTTCTTTGGGACTCTCTGAGCTTCCTGGACTTCCTGGAAGTCTGTTTCCTTTGCCAGATTGGGGAACTTCTCCTTTATTATTTGTTCAAATAACTTTTCCACTTATTGCTCTTCCTCTTCTCCTTCTGGTACCCCTATAATTCGGATGTTGGAACGTTTCAAGATGTCCTGGAGGTTCCTAAGCCTCTCCTCATTTTTTTGAATTCTTGTTTCTTCATTCTTTTCAGTGTGGTTATTTCTTTCTTCCTTCTGGTCCACTTCGTTGATTTGAGTCCCAGTTTTCTTCCCATAACTATTGGTTCCCTGTGCATTTTCCTTCATTTCACTTAACGGTAGCCTTAATTTTTTCATCTAGTTTGTGACCAAATTTACCCAATTCTGTGAGCATCCTGGTCACCAGTGATTTGAACTGTGCATCTGATAGGCTGGCTGTCTCTCCGTCGCTTAGTTGTATTTGCTGTGGAGCTTTGATCTGTTCTTCCGTTTGAGCCATTTTTTTTGTCTTGTCACGCCTGTTACGTATGAGGGGCGGAGCCTTAAGTGTTCCTCAGGGCGGGGAAACCCAGTGGCTGGGTTGTGACGCTTAATGTGGTAGAGGGGTCCGAGAGGGAACAATGGCACTTGCTCCGCTCTCTGTGGGACTTCAGTCCCTTCCGCTGCTTCCCCCAAGCAAACTGGGCCTTTCTGGTGCTGATTCCTGGGTGGGTGGGCTTGTGTACATTCTAGGACCCCATGGGTCTCTCTGACACACACTCCTGGGTGGCCAGGGGTCTCTCCCTGTGCCTCAGCCCCCACAGGTGTTTTCAGTCAGTGCCCGGAGGCTCTGTTTCCCGGCGCTGGGGCCCTGGGTTGCGCGCAGGGCCTCGCTTCACATTCGCCGCCTCGCTGGGCCTGCGGGTTGCCACCCCTCGGCCCGGGGTCCACCCGCTGCGCTCCAGATTCCTTCCGCGCCTGGTCCCACCGCTCTTTGTGCCGCGAGCCCTCTCCGCCCGGCTGCCCGCCCCCGCCCCCCCGCCGGTCTGGATGAGCGTGACTATTTGAACTCCTCGGTTGTCCGGCTCCCGCACAGCTCAGTTTTCTGTCAGTTCTGGTGGTTACTCTGTTTCTAAATTGTTGCTGTCCCTGTCTTGGTTGTGCGAGGAGGCACAGTGTGTCTACCCACGCCTCCGTCGTAGCCGGAAGTCCCTCTCAGAGTTGTAGTTTCTGGTGGCTGTGAGAGAGGTTAGTCCTATAGGGTAGAATACTTGACTTTTATTTTTGAGACCTGCGTGTCTTCTCAAAAGTGGGTTATGATCTTCATGGTTACAATCTTTTCCCCGGTTAGGACTGCTGGCTTCACGTAAACGCCAGAAAAAGCGTGTTCCCCAAGCTGTCGGCCGTGATGCGTGACGGCGGCCGGGGCCTGGCCCCGGTCATACACCCCAACCTGCTGCCGTTCGTCAGCAAGCTCCCGCAGTCCGTCACCGACCCGAAGCTGGACTTCTTCAGAGACTTCCTCACCTCTCTGGTCGCGGGGTAAGGGGCGCGCCTCGTGGGTCTTTGCAGCCAGGAGATGTTTCTTGTTCTCACAGAGGGGTGGGGTGACATATACATAATTGTCTTTCTTATTTAAATTTCCCCAAAATAGTTTTTTCCTGTTCATTAGACACTTTTCAGGTTTAATTTAGAGAATTAAAATGGAATTTTTTTCTTGGGTGCTTTGAAGGCCTCAGTGCTAGTATACAGCAGGAACTAAGGTGACTACAGTAAGGCCCTCAGGTGGCAGTAGGCCGTTTTCCAAATGAGTTATTTTTTCATATGTTGATACAAATGCGTAAATGCAGAAAACGAACCTATAAAGTTTCTAAAAATTCCACAAACTTACAGAAGTTTGAAGTCACAATTAAAAATTACTTCAGTATTTGTCGAACTTAATAAATAAAAGATACTCAATTTTATTTAGTATTTAAACTTTTTTTCACATTACTTTTTGTTTGGTTAAGTCCTGTCTTTCAGATTTGTAGCTGGATGGGTTCATGAATAGAAAATAAACGTGTTTTCTTCTGTTGACAAATTTTTTAAATAGGATTTTTTTCACAGTTCTTCAAGTTCATGTTATAATTAGGAGATAATTTTATCGTCTGTTCTTCGTTTTTAGTTTAAGAATTTTATTTTTTAGTCTTGGCTGGTGCGGCTCAGTGGATTGGGTGCCCGCCTGTGAACCAAAGGGCCGCTGTTTCCATTCCCGGTCAGGGCACAGGCCTGGGTTTCAGACCAGATCCCCAGTGGGGGCGTGTGAGAGGCAACCACACACTGATGTTTATCTCCCTCTCTTCCTCCCTCCCTTCCCCTCTCTCTAAAAAAATAAATACTGAAAATCTTTAAAAAAAAATAAATGCACATTAAAAAAAAGAATTTTATTTCAAAAGGTTCTCATCTTTTGGTATGATGCCTTTTCCATGACTTTATTTTGGTGTTTCTGAGGTGCTCATATTCTTTTTCATGAAGGAGTAAGCCACAGTGATGTGTTATTTCTTAGGCTATCAACAGAGAGAATCAAAACCAGCCTCTCAGAGTGCTCAGCAGTGATATCTGCGTTTTTTGATTGCTTGCGTTTTATAATGCAACAGAACTTAGGAGAGAAGGAGATTGAAGAAATGCTCATCAGTGATCAGGTATTTATAGTGTAAAAATCACTAGTGTTTTTCACACTGACTGTAAAGAATCAGGTTCATTGTGTCTTGTTGCCATTGCCTTGTAAAGATTCCATACGTGCTAGTATAATTAGTGTAACACAGTAATGACTGAGGACTAGCCTCTGAATGAACAAACCCTGATGGTTTTAGAGTTAAATGCAAAACAGAATTTAGAAGGTGTGGTTTTCGGTCTTTTGCATCACCGTATTTTGCCGTGTACAGTGTGCACCCACGTCTGTGCGCGTCGTACATGTGGGATTGTTACGCCCATCGTTACGCCCCCGGTGTGTGATCATTATACCCGTTGTGTCGTCATTATACCCATGGGTAATGTGCACCCTTACTTTTCCCTCAGAAATTTGGGCAGAAAAGTGAGCACTACACACGGCAACATATCCTAAGTTTAGATACACATACTTGAGTATTTATTACTTCTGAAATATTCAAGCACATATACCCTTTTGTGAACAGTTGTGTTTGGTGGTGCTTAGAATCAGTGATGAGGGTAGGCTCTAGAATATGGCTCCTGTGGTAGGAAATTAATTAATGAAATACAATACCAAATCCTAGTTGTTGCCTCAGATAGTTAACTTCTCTCGTCTTTGTAATTCAAGAAAAAGGATTCTGAATTCTGTGGATCCTCTGTCTTTCATTTCGGCTGAGAAGAAAAAGCAAACTTGAATAACCTCAGAAATTCTGAGAAAAGTATATTATTTGTTAATGACTAATAATCTCGGTCATTTGTATCATAAAAATGAAGTCATTCAAGGGGAATATAGTAAAATCATTACGCTCTTTATATTAATAGGAAAATGATTTATCAGGTTAACTTTTCAGAGTTCTGGAGGGAAATCTTTATTTTTCATTTAAATGTGAACACTTACGTTACACAACTACCTTGTTTATATTTTATCTTCTGGAAACTGAACTGTTCTATTTTACCTTCTCTTTTAGTTGATTCCTGTGATTGATGCAGTTCTCAAAGACCAAAGATTGCAGGATGGGCAACCCTTTGACTGTTTAGCAGAAACTTTAAGTTCTTGGGAAGCCAAAGCAGATATGGAAAAAGATGATGAAACTGCTCACAGCTTGGAGAAAGTGCTCCTGAATTTCTGGGGAAGACTGTCAGAGATCTGTTTTGAGAAAATGAATGAGCCAGAAGCTGATGTTAAGTCTGTTTTGGGTGTATCTAACCTATTACAGGTCCTTCAAAAGCCAAAGGGCTTGTTGAAGTCAAATAAAAAAAAAATTGGTAAGGTCAGGTTTGCTGATGAGATGCCTGAAAGTCATTCAGCGAACGAAAAACACTTCCCCTCAGAAGGCGAGAGCAGTGAGGGCTGGGAACCAGTGGCTGAGCCTCTTCTCTCCCGTGACTGTTCAGACCTTGTATCCCCGCTACGGAAGAAGCCTTTGGAAGACTTAGTCTGCAGACTGGCAGGGATGAGCATTAGTTTTGTCAACGAACAAAAGTCAGAGCAACACCTGAGGTTTCTTTCCACTCTGCTCAGTTCCTTCTCTTCAACCCAAGTATTTAAGACGCTGCTAGGTGATGAAAGGCAGAGCACTGCCAAGTCCAAACCTCCTGAAATAGCCGAGCTTATACAGAAAAACCCTGCAGTGCAGTTTTTGTACCGGAAACTACTCGGTTGGCTAAACGAAGACCAAAGGCAGGATGCTGGTTTCCTGGTGGACATTTTGTACAGTGCCCTCCGTTGCTGTGACGATGACAAGGAAAGAAAAGATGTCTTAGATGATCTGACTGAGGTATTCCTGCTGCGTCTCTTTGAACTGGAATGGCTCACACTGGCACCACGATCACAGACGTGGAGGGGTCTCGTCGGGGGGACGTGTGGATTGTTTCTTGGTGATGAATTTAAGATAAGCAATATAGTGATTGTGAGTTGGGAAGTGTGTGAGACTTCCAGGTCGGTGTTCAGTAAATATGTATGTGGTCGTGACACAAGCTTGGTAGCAAAAGGGGGAGTTGGACCAGCTGAAAAAGTTCTATTTCTGTAGTGGTTACCTGGTTGCTTCATTTACTCGTAAATGTTTACTATTCCTTGCAGTGATTACTTGTGACTCCTTTTCCTCTTCCAGGTGGAGCTGAAGTGGAATTCAGTCCTTCAGGTCATCGAAAAGGTATCTCAGGGATTTTTTTCTTCTCTCTTTTTGTGTTTATGGGTGTGGAAAAATTAAAACCACAGTCATAGTTCTACACGGGGATACAGTCAGATATCTGTGTTAGAGGACTTCCTCATTGCTATCAATTCCCATAATTTGAGAAGATTTTTGGTGCTTGCCTTCTGTAGTATTTCTCAGGTTAGGGATATCAGGGAAGAATGAACAGGCTCTGGAAATCCAGTGTTTCTTCCCTAGCAGGCAACAAAGGGAAAGTTAAACATTTTCATTTTTATTATTTTTTTTCAAATCGTAAGAGAAAGTTTATTTAGAAAACTGCAGAGGTAGAAGTGAGCCAGCTGGGCCGTGTAGGCTCAGGAGACAAATTACAGAGACAGAAGAAAGGCCCTTGCAGCTCCAGAGAGAGAAAGGCAGAGAGGATGTGCTGGGAGGAGGGGGTGGGGGGGGCGGAACAGGACGGATGTAGGCATGCTCCCCAGGGGGAGAACACAGACTTTTTTTTTTTTTTTTTTTTTTAATGAAGGCTGCAGGTTTCTATTCTTATCCTGGTCACTCTTTCTTCCATAGAAATGGATTCAGTGGTTCTAGTTTTGTTGGGAACACGTCAGGAGATGATTGGCCCAGCTCTGGAATATTATACAGGCAGATTAAAGCTCTCCAGTGTTTGATGGCAATGTAACTGGATAAGAAAGTTAATGATGAGAATAATGAAAAGAAATCAAGGGACATAAAAAATGGGAAGGTTAAAAAAGTAGCCTAATTATTTCCTAATGAAGATGTAAATAATATAACAACACATTTCCAACCATAGAAATGTTATGACTACTTAAAATTTTATCTTAGCTTTTTTGTATTATTTTTAAGTTTTACACAGATAACTCTTTAACTTACAATATTTTTTCTTTTAAAATTTTGGCATAAAACACAGCCCGATATTTCCCATCCTGACGCTCCTGCGTGCACAGCCCAGTCGTGGCCACGTGCCCACGGCACTCACTGGCAGCCAGTGTCCAGAGCGTTTTCACCCTGCAGAGCTGAGGCTGTGTCGGCTGAACAGTGACTCTCAGTCTCCTCCAGTGGTTCATTTTCTTACAAAACAAACACACGATATTACTGTTTTTCGATGAGAAATATAACTTATAGGCACATCTTTTGCAGTAGCTTATCCAGTACCTTCCCTCCTTATAGGCAACAGCCAAGCTGCTTAATGCATTTAGAGTCAGTTGAGGGAGTTAAAGGTTGATAAGAAAATGCTCCCTCCATTTCCAGCTTAGAGATGTCTCTGCCATGTGGTTTGGATACATGTGTTTGGGAGACTCCCCCACCAGGGCAGCGTCTGCCGCCCACTTGCCCCTGAGCAGCTAGCTTCCTGTCCTTAAAGCTTCTGTCAGCACAGCACATGGAGAAGTTGAACTTCGTGTCTTGCCAACCTGAGACCCATTTTATTCAGAGGATTATTTTCTGGATTTTGTAGGGTTCTATAAAATAGACTGGTCTTTTTGATAAATTGTATTAGGCAAGCCAATTTTATAGCCATCTAAACTCTAGTTTTTCTCGTGTTCATACAACCTTGTACTTTATGAACAGATCCCTAAAGTTACCTTCTTTAAAAACAAACCTGGATTTTGAATGCAGAAAAGAACCTTAGAGATTTTTTTAGGTTAATCTTCATTTTTCAAATTAGGAAATAGGCCCAGGTTGATTATGAGATTTGTCCAAGGTCGTGAAGTCAGAATAGTGGTAAAGCTTGGGCTAAAATAAAAGCTGTGGTTACCTACAATTTTTTATGTAAAAGGATAAAGTTTTTCAGGCATTACCCAATCCACACTTGGATTGTTTTTTTTTTTTTTCCTAGATTGCTTTGAAATGAACCAAATTGCAAATTCCTTTCTTCTCAAGCCTTAAAACAAAAGAAGCTCTGGGGACGTGGATCAGCATGCTTTGGGGGGTGGATTTACAGTTTTTTTCTTGCTTCTCCACTCCATGAAAATAAACTAGCTGCTGTCACATATCTGGCCCTAGTAACTATTTTAAGGAATTAGTGGAGGTAATAAGACGTACCGTTATTCATATTAAAGCAATTTACCATTATATATTAATTGTGCTTTAATTTTAGCAAAATTAATGAAAAATTGAATATCTATAGAGCATTTTTTTAAAATCTGTCCTCAAAGATCAGCCATTTATTATCGAACAAATCTGCAGAGTTGGTAGCAGGTGTCCAAGAAGTTTTGGACTGTCTCTGCTCTCAAGGAACTTAGAGTCTCATTGGACACAAGACACACACACAGATGAAACATTTAAATAACAATGCAATCCAGTAAGTGTTTTAGAAATTCAGAGAAAATCAGTGATGAGCATGGGCTGGAGAGGTGGGGAGACCTCGTAAAGCAGGTGGGATTTGTACTGATTCTCAAAAACATGGATAGGACTTGAGGAAAGTAGATGAGCAAAGCATGGGGTGTGGTGAGATAGGCTTTGTGGGGACCTCGGAGCTGCCTGCCTCCGCACAAAGAGGAAGGGTGGGGAGGGGAGGGGCACGGGAGGTAAGACTCCAGGCTGATAGCGTTTGTGGTCTTGCTTCTAACCGTTGCTTTACCTGTACGGTTTTAGGCAAGTTCCAGTTCAGAGAAACATGCTTTAGTCATTTCTTGGCTGAAAGGAGACATCCTCGGGGAGAAATTGGTCACCTTGGCAGATCGTCTTTGTGATAAAGGCTTGGAATCCACAGTAACTTTTGAACCTTACTTCTCAGAAAGATGGGCTCTTTTAAGCTTGGTATTATCCCAACATGTTAAAAGTGGTAAGCAAAAATATGACTTGTTTTCAGTGGGGAAGTAATTCTGTCACTTTTGGGGGGATTTCATGCTGCTGAGAATATGACATAATTCACTAAAATATCTTAATTTTGTAAGTACCCTAAATATATATTATCTTTGTGGCATGACTTGGATGACATTTAATATTTTGTATTTTATTCTGAAGGGTTTTGAATTTAGCAAAGCTCTTCACCCTAATTTTATAGAGCATAGCTTTTTAAATTTAATTTAAAACTGCTTTTTTTATGTGAGGCTTTTTTGTGTGTGAGAACATACTGATTTGTTCGTATGGTTTTCTTATGTCTAATATACAAGCACCTTTTTAAAAAATAATATTTCATTTTCAGAGGGTAAGGGAAGGAGAAAGAGAGGGAAGGAAACATCAAAGTGTGGTTGCCTCCATGCACCCCCTACTGGGGATCTGGCCTACAACCCAGGCATGTGCCCTGACTGGGAATCGAACCAGTGACCCCCTGGTTCACAGGCCAACACTCAATCCACTGAGCTACACCAGTCAGGGCAGCACCCTTTTTTTTAAAAATAAGCACAAAGCCTCAAGTTGTAAAAGATTCAAAATTATACTGTTAATATTTTTTTTGTGTTTTGTCTGTGTTTTCTTTTTTTCTAGACTACTTGATAGGAGAAGTGTATGTTGAAAGAATTATTGTTAAACTTCATGAAACTTTATCCAAAGCAAAGAAATTGTCAGAAGCTGAAAATAATGACTCTTCAGTGTCTTTTGTCTGTGATGTGGTCTATGACTATTTTAGCTCAGCAAAAGGATGCTTGCTCATGCCATCATCTGAAGATTTGTTATTAACTCTCTTTCAGCTGTGTGCTCAGAGCAGAGGAAAAACGCATTTGCCAGGTAGTAGCTTACCCTTCAAATGTCTTGCTGGGAATCTCTGGCTCTGACCTTCACAGTGTCAATGCCAAGGCTTTATCAGTTGCATCATATAATGTGTTTGAAAGTTGAAACCATTTTGAGTAAAGGACTCAAATCTTGAACACTTTCTGCTTTAAAAACCAAGTTAAAGATGTATGTAGACATTATGTCTTAAGTTCTTACTTGATATCAAGGAAATAGTTTTGGAACATGCCATATCTTATCTCTTTCCTTGTCTTAAATAGTTAAAAACATTCAATCTTGGTGTATGTCAAAATGAAATTGAGATTGCCTTTTTAGGGACTATATTCTTGCCTTGTGTGTTAATTTAGATATATTTATGAAAGAAATATTTTTAAAATACTCTTGGTAGCCCTCCTCTCCAACCCTTTCTTTAATAATAATGCCTCTATTTAGAAAAGGCATATACTCTTGAGTTGGCCAAAATTGCTAAAATAAAAGACACATTTCTCATTTTCACCAATAACTTCATTGGTTTGGGTATTTTGAATGTGTCAGCTGTCTCCTGTGTGGTAGAATGTTAATTCTTAATTAATGTCCTAATTTGATCGCTGTCCACTTCAGTTGGCCTGCCCGACCGTGGAGCGTCGTACAGCAAGAAATCTCTAGCACCGAACATTGCAGATCACTTCTGACATGTTCAGTCAGTCACAGCACCCTCTCCATACACTGCACTAATTATTTTTTGCATTTCAGTTGCGTTTTTTAGATTTTATTTATTTTTTTAGAGGGGAAGGGTAGGAGAAAGAGGGAGAGAAACATCAATGTGTGGTTGCCTCTCGCATGGGGCTTGGCCCACAGCCCAGGCTTGTGTCCTGACAGGGAATTGAACCGGCGACCCTTTGGTTCACAGCCCACACTCAATCCACTGAGCTACACCAGACAGGGCTCAGTTGCATTTTTACCTTCCTTGAAATAATAAAGCGTAATATGCCAAAAATGTTGCATCTCTTGTTCCATGTTAAATATTAAAATAGCTGTACAGATACTCACCAATTTTGATGTTTCTTTTAAATGCACATTGATATGGCAACTGTCACAATACAGTCTAACAAATTGTTTGGAATGAAGTTACAGACAACTAAGCACTACTAGAGCCATCTTAAGGAAAAAAACAAATGAACCTTTTGGCCAACCCAATATTTTTCACGTCTCCAAAAGGACGGCTTTAATCTTACTATTGGATTTTTGTTTTCTTTTTGAATGTTTCCTTAATAATGTGAGAGCGGCAATGAATTCTTTTAGATATTTTGTAATGATTATAATTACTGTTGATGTCTCGATTTTAGACATTCTCATCTGCAAACTGAAAAACACCTGGCTCTCAGGCATGAGTGTGCTGGTTCATCAGACGGGCTGCGCAGGCCTGCAGAGTGCCTTCCTGCGCTCATCTGCTCTGTGGCTGAAGGGCCAGGTCCAGTCTTCACCTTTGGATATCCCAAGGTAACCATTTTGTGCTCTGCTGCACGGTATTTCTTAATACGTGATCACGTTCCTTAAATAAGACTCCATAATTAGTGTGAGTGCCTGTGGAAAAGGGCTTGTTACGTGAGAACTCAGTGGGATTCCTACCAAGATTTTTCCAGGATTTGTTTTAAACTCACTGAGCTGAGGACAACTGTCACAGCAGACCTGCTGCCCTCCTGCCTCACGCACGGTCAGCAAGGGGCCGCTGCTGCTCTTCTGCATCTCGCCTGGGGTGGCCTGCAGCCCCCGCCTCTCCTGGCCAGCGCGCACAGCGACTGCTCTGTGTCGCTCCTCTTTTGGGGTCTGACAGCCCCTGTCTTCAGGTGTGTGAGTTGCAGATGCGTTTCGCGTCTCACACCCAGTCCACACGTGAGAGGAGAATGAAGCAGATGTACCCAGAGGCTCGGGAGTTGAATCTCATCTGTTTCTGATCACCGTGCTCATTTTGTGGAACATGGGAGCTGTATTTCAGAAATACCTGATCAGAAATAGGTCAGATCCCCTTGGCGCTGAGATGGAAGTAGCACCTTCTTTTCAAATTGTAAATGTGGGATGCGAGCCCCATGTGACTGTGTGTGTTGGTGAGGGGGAAGATGAGGCATGGCAAAGCCACTCAGAGTTACTTTTGTCTTTTTGTTCAGGTAAGCTGTTACCTGCCACAGGGCATTCAGTGTGTACCAAGGTGTCATAACAGTACGTTCTTTGCGTTGTTTTAGTCTTCAGGGCCTTTTATCTACTGTGGATGATTTGCTCAATAAGCTTCTGGAGAGTGAAGACACCTCCCTCCTGGGAGTTTATATTGCAGGTGTCATGCCAGACAGCGGAGAGTGGGAGACGATGAGACAGTCCCTCCCTATGCAGGTAGGTTTGAGGTGGGAGAGCGTGCATCTCATTCTGATGTTTGGGTTCCATGGAAGGTTAAATATTTCTATTTATTTTTGGTGAAGAAAAATAAGAGAAGTAAGTATCTTACTTCGCCCTGATGCCTCTGAGTGCTCCTCTGTGTGTTTGCTGTTTGCGTGGCCCCGGCCGGCACTGGGCCGCAGCTGTGGTGTAGGTGAGGTCCATGGGCACCTGTAGGGAGTGTGCACGTGAAGGTTTCTCATGCGGAACCCAAGCTTCAGGCTTCTGTGGCTGTGCCAATAAACCAGTAATAAACTCATTCTTACAGTGACTTCAAAAACAATTAGAAGAGGCTCTAGTAACTGTGTTTTTGCACCCTGTCTTAGCTGTGCAGTTGGTGGCAGACAGAATGTCTGATGGTGGTCTACCCGCTTTGTCGTTCTGCAGTGGCTGCACAGACCTCTGTTAGAAGGAAGACTGAGTTTGAATTATGACTGTTGCACAACAGATGTTGAACAACAAGATACAAAGACACTTCCTAGCCATTTGTGTACTTCAGCATTACTGAGCAAAATGATAATAGTTGCACTGAAAAAGGAAATAGTCCTAGAAAATAATGAGCTCGAGAAAATAAGTAAGTATGTAAGCATTTAATGTAATATATATATGAATTTTGAAAGAATTTTGAAATACTTTTGATTATACTGTTACAGGACAGACGGGGGGTGAGTGATATATTATTGCCAAAAAGACCCCCTTTTTCTTTCTCCGGGGGTTCCCTTCCCTATACTAGGTTCACTTTGCCCACCGCCAGAGGAAAGACGTCTCTCAGTGCCAGAGATTGGTGAAAAGGAAGAGAATTATTTATCTAAAAGTTATACAGACTTAGAATAATGACTTAATGTCTTCATTAAAATACTAAAGTTCTCTAGAATACCCACAAACACACACAGTCCTTCTCTCCTTTGCCCAGGCAGGGGCACCATATCTCAAGGAGAGAAGTAGAAGTCCGTGGTTCAGGCTTCCAGCACCATCAGCTGTGTCGCCACCACGATCTCCAGTTAATCCGAAGCCATGTGGCACCTTCTCATGGCCCGCCAGCAAGAGTCCTTTTACCCCTTTTCTTCCAGGCAAAGTCTCTCCTGCTGCCTAAGCCACGTGGCAAAAGGGAGCACCCTAGAGCTGCGAGGTCCTAACTCTTGCCCAGGCTGCATGGTCCTGACCTGTATGGCTGCCGTGCCTGGGTTTAAATCCTGGCGCCAGTCTTCCTCTGCAGCCCCATTTCTGACTCCTCCCACGATCACTTCTATCTGCCAGCATTCCCATATTCTTCCAGCTTCACTGGGCTGCCATAGTAAGTCCAGGCAGGTGTGGCCCTGTGGTGTGGAGCCAGTCATCTCCAAGCTCTCAACGCAGGCCCTGTAACCAAGGGGGAGTTGCTTCCCAGTTATATCCTGGGTGGAAGTCACTCCCATCCCCCTGGCTCAAAGCCTGGCCACAGCTATTTAACATATCTGTGAAACCAGTTAAAGGCTGTAGATATATTAAACGATCATGCCAGGGGTTAGCTGCAAAGATGTTGCTATGCAAAACAGCTCTCAAGGATCCTGCTCATGCGTCCCATCCCCCAGCTCAGGCTGGTGGGGGGTGAGGACATCATATATATTTTTTCCTCTAGTATTTCCTGAACACCCTGAGTTTCGGACCTGAGTTCAAATTCCCATTTGGTCACCCTCCCCCAGCCCTGGCTGCACCCTGTTACAATATTGCAGTTTAAAGAATCAAGAAGTTGCAGCTCCTATTTACCATGTTAGTGATGAGAAACTTCAGGTTACTTAAATGATGAATGTTAAATTGTAAATCGGATGGAAGCATACTGAAATCTTGCTACAACCTTGTCGGGTGTCCAGTAGATGGTGGCGTGAGGTCCCGTTGTCAGACTGGGTCACGTCCGTGTGAGCAGACCCCGTGTCCCGTAACTGAGGAGGGAGTGTGGGCTTCATCCAGGAGTCCGAATGTTTCGTTAGGGTTTGGGCCACCGCCTGTGTCTGCTGGGCGAGTGGGGGCTGGAACGGCGTGGAGCTGCGGGCAGCAGCGTGGGCAGCGCAGGCGGCGTCCGAAGGGGAGGGTGTGTGCAGTCCCCGTGGTGGCGGTCTGGTGTGTGGGCCCTCAGGGTTGGCAGTCCCCGGTGTGGGAGGACGTGGGGCCCTGTGGTCGGCCAGCTCCACAGGCTTCTCCCGGGCAGGGCCAGGCACCCCCGGCTGTGCTGCTGGCAGAGCGAGTCTGTCCGACAGCCGGAGTGGAAAGCAGAGTCTCATTTCTCCAGTGTCTTACACGTGTTACTGATTCCAAACGGACAACATTGTGTATTTAATCTTCTCGTCGATACTATCAGTTAGATATCACTGTTTTTATCCTGACTCGCTTAGAATTACTTAACTTGGAAAGGGTAGGGTTAGATTTTAAACCAGGTCTCAAATCTTCTGACTTCAAAATCCAAACCATGCATGGATTTATAAAAGAGTTGTGACTAAATGTATATTAAAATGTTAAGAGCCTCTGACATTCCTGGTTTTATGAAAGATGCTTGGCCATTTAATTCTCACGGCAGTCACGGGCGGACTGTCCTGTCCTCACCGGTGACTATGTGTGCAGCTCCTTGAGGACAGACGTCTGCCGCGGGACCGTGCCCTCTTCACGGCCTCCTGCCCCTCCTGCCGTCTTCCGTCTCGGGGCGGAGCTTCTTGTCTCAGGCCTCGCACCCCTTCGTTGTCTGTCCCGTGTGTGCCTTCTTGCCACTGAGACCAAAATAGTGGGAAGATTCTTCCCCTGTCTCTGGTCATTCAGGTCCTTGTCACATGCTCACCTAATCAGAAAAGGAACCAAGGAAGACTTGGTAAAGGAGTGGTGTCTGGTGTCAGGCAGGTGTTCTCAGTTGTCAGTCTTTTGACAGTCTCCAAGCAGGTCGGAGGTCAGTTCCCAGAGGTCGGGGAAGAGGAGACAGGGCGGGCCGGAGCCTGGAGTCGGGCAGAGGGGAGGAGCCCGTGCCGCAGCCCTGCTAACTGCGCCCTCCTCTCAGCCGCAGAGCTTCTCTACTCCCTGCAGTGGTGCGCGGAGTTGGACAACCCGCCGGCCGTCCTCACTGGGTTTCAGGAAATGCTTGAGAAAATGAACATTACGTACGATGACTTGTGTGGACTTGGTAATACCTCCGACCTTTTGCACCTGCTATTTAACAGGTAAAACTCCCTTTCAAATTCCATTTTTAAATGAGCATTTTACTACTTTATAGCTTTGTTTCTTTAAAATGTAAGCCTTCTTCATGCTAATTCTTCAGTCAGAAGGCTGATCTAAATCTGAATTCTTAATGATAAATTCTTTGTGGGTACTAAGTACTTGATTTTATTTTTCTGGGGAGATATCTGGACTTTGTGTTACTAAATTCATAAGCATGTTCAAGGGGCAGATGATGAAAGGAACAGAGCTGGTAGACATGGCTTTGACTTGTCATCTGTGACCCACTCCCCACCCCTGTGGAGATCAGCCTGTATCCTGCACACTGTCCCTGCTGTGTCTGGCTGCAAGAACCACAGGCCCTCTCCCCTAGATGAGGAAGTAGGTGTGAAAACAGGCCATCATGGAGATGGTCGCAGTGAGAGTTTCCGAGGTGGAAATCACTGGGTGGGACTGCCCTTTCTTAGAAGAGTCCAGGGTCTGGGCCCCGGCTGAACAAGTCTTCCTCTCTGGTGCTGTCGCACCCAGCAGCTGCCCAGAGCCCACTGCTGCAATAGCCCCGTGGCCTCTGCGACTTCGGGCCTGGTCTTCAAGCTCAGGGCTGTGGTGCGCCCAGTCCCTCTAGTCCTGGGGGCAGAAGTCCTGTGTGAGGCCGACACCCTCACAGGGCGGTGGATTCCACTCTGTCACAGGAATCCAGGGAAACAGTTTAGAAATCATAGGTAGTTTCAGAATGGATTTTTTCCTTCATTTTTTAGATCCATGGAACACGGCACTCTGTGGTCTCTTATTATTGCTAAATTGATCCTTTCCCAAAGCATTTCATCTGATGAAGTAAAACGGCATTATGAGGAAAAAGAAAGGTATAATTACTTAAAGCTTTCACTTTGCAATTTACTGTGTTTGGACAGCTTGGCAACCTCCAACTAACCAATACTTTCTAATGAATTGAGCAAACGAGGTCTAGGAGATGAAATTTAGTTAAAGGAAATGAGAAAGACTGAAAATAATTTGAGTTGTTTTAGGTTTGGAACATATATTTTTGTGATGAGCATTTTTAACTTTATAACGTTTTGTTGTAGAATTTCATACTGGTTTTAAACAAGTAGTGTTTCATAAACTTATTCTCTTTTCCCCCAAAATCTCTCTCGTGGATCTTTCTGTTACTTTCCATCCCTGACTCCCTTCATCACCACATTGTTTGCTCCGTGGAGAGTGCTCCACTTTTCTCTTATAGGGGTCATCCTAGTGAGTGTGTTCTGGAAATGCAGTGAACGTGTTCTTCATCCAGAGAAACACCCTGTGGTTAGGCGTGCGCCAGGCCCGCGGAGGCCGGTCATGCTGGAGAGGCCGAGGGTCCAGAGTGAGCGCTCAGCTGAAAGCCACCGAGAGGCATCTTGAGTTGATTGATTTGCCAGGAAGCATTCGAGAATGACATGTTTATGTTCTGGCACAGTAGATTTGTAAATTTCTAAATTTCAGTTTTAAGAATCTTATTTAAAACTTTAAAAAGCATATTATTTTGAGATAGAGATTCACATGCAAATGTAAGAAATAATACAAAAAGATTCCCTATGTCTCGCATTTAGTTTCCACTTGGGCACAACCTCAGCTCAGTTTCACATCCAGAGAATGGCAGTGACACAGTGTATCGGTCAGGGTCATGTGCGGTCATTTGCGTGTGACCACGAACCACCAGGCTTCAGACAGAGAACAGCTTTGGCCGTAAGCATCGCCCATGTTGCGTGTCACACCCACAGCCACCTCCCTTCGCCCTGTTTCCTCGCCTCTGGCAGCCACTACCCTGTTCTCCTCCTCCCTCATCGCCTCGCCCAGGAGTGTGGTATCAGTGAGATCGTACAGTATATGGTCTTTTGATGCTAGTTATTTTGTTCATCATAATTTAAAATTTTTCTAATTATAAAAGTAATGAGGAATTTATTCAAGAACTGTTTGAACTGATTACTACTGAAATGGATAAATGCTTGACGTGCAAAAATCAATAACTTTCTTATTTATCAGTAATAATGAATTGAAAAATGTCACAGGAAAAAAGATTTCATTACAAATAACTAGACTATAAATACCTACAAATAAATTTAATAAAAAGCATAATTGTAAAACAGTAAAGATTACAAAAGACAGTAGGAAGATATTAATCTATAATTTCACTGGAATCACAATAAAAATTTCAGCAACATTATTTGAAAAAGTTGACATACTATTGTAAACATAGTGTGCATTTGAAAGGGAAACGCTTAAGAATGGCTAGGAAATCTCTGAAAGACAAAAAGCAAACAGAACTTGCCCAGCTGCACACAGTCGTCAAGCTGTGTGAGAACGGCGAGTGGGCAAACCAGTGGAGCCGAGCGCGGAGCCCAGGAACCAACCCGCACCCGCACGAGAGTTGCATGTCCGGTATAGCTGACCTTTCAGATCAGTGAAGAGAGTCCGTAATAAATGAGGTTAGGAAAATTGGGTACGTGGTTTAAAAATACAGCGAAAGCCCTGGCTGGCATAGCTCAGTGGATTGAGCGCAGGCTGCGAACCAAAGTGTCACAGGTTCGATTCCCAGTCAGGGCACACGCCTGGGTTGCAGGCCACGGCCCCCAGCAACCACACATGGATGTTTAAAAATACAGCGAGACCCCTTCCTGACATTATGCATAAACATGAAGTGCAGGTGGAAGCTAAATGTAAAGAACAGACCTGTGAAGTTTTAGGGAAATAAGAGACTGGATTATCTTGCGTGGAGATCCTCTTAAGTAAGGCACAAAACCTAGAATCCATTAAAGAAATGATAGACATTTGATTATTTTAAAAACGAAAGCTCCTAGCAACCCAACTGTCTGTCACATGAGCAGACAAAACACAGCGCACGTACGACGGAGGGTTGTTCCGCCTTGAAGAGAAGGCTCGGGCACCTCCTCCGCATAGGTGCCCCTTGAGGACGTGGTGGTGCGTGAAGGAAACCAGGCACAAAGAGACAAACCCTGTGTGATCCCACGAATTTGAGGGACCTCGCTTAATCAAATTCATAGAGAAAGAAAGTAGACAGGGGCTGTCGGGGGCGGGGGGGCCGTTTCTGGTTATTGGCTAGAGTTTCAGTTTTGTGAATGAAAGTTCTGGACTGTGTTTGCCCAGCAGTGTGAGTGTGTGTAACGCTGCTGGACTATACACTTAGAAATAATTAACATGAAAGAAAGATTTCATTATGTGTGTTTTACCACAATGAAATAAATACTTTAAAAAGAGAAAACCATGACAAAAATATAGTAAACAAAGTTAAAGGCCCAGTGACAAAATGGAAGAACACATTTGCAAATTAACAAAGAATTAATGTCCATAATATATCAGTACCTTCTATTAATCACTAAAACAATCCGAATTGAAAAATGTGTCAAGGACTTGAACAGGTCATTCGCAGATAAAATGTAAAATATGAAAGGATTTGCCTTATCAGTAATGATGGTCAAGTAAAGCGTATCTGACATATTGCCAGGGATTTAAAAGTCTCATTAAGTGTACAGAAAAACAGTGATGTGTACATTCTGTGAAACTTTAAATGGGTTGCAGTTTTTTGGAAAGCAATTTGAAATTCAAAATATAGTGCATTCAGATCCTTTGATCTTGCAGTCGCACATCTGGGGATCGAGACTCTCGAGAGGTGTTTGCACTTGTGCTCTGGCACGTTGCAGCCTTGTTCCCCAGAGCAGAAGGTTGGGGAATGAAACCTAAATGTCCACTAGCAGAGAAATAGTTAAATTATGATACACCCATCATCTGGAATATTTGTGTTTGTAATTTTATAGCTGTAAAGTATCGGTACAGAAAATAATTTATACCTATATGTTCTGACACAGAAAAATCTACAAAGTATGTAAGTGACAATAACAACTTACATGCTTCGTGTTTCAGTAGAAAAGTGGCAGAAAACAGTATGTCTAGTGTGACGTGATTGTGTAAATGATCCCAGTTCTCTGTCTACACACACAACGAATATCAGCTCGTAGAAAGGACACACAAATGGCACTGTGCAAACTGACTCAGTGGACTCTTTAGAAAACTTAACTATGTGTTACGTGTATAACACAAAATAATCATAAGTGGGAGAAAGTTAAATATGCTTATTTTAAAAATTAGAGATGTGTTAGAAAGAAGCAGCAAAAAATAATTATTTGTAGTTCATCTAAAATCAGCAGTCATCAATCTCTTCACATAGTTTCTTTTATTTTTTCTATATAATTATTTTATATAGTGGAATGACTAACCCTTTGGAAATAATCTGAATAAGGAATTATCTGAAATAACTGCATATTTAGGATGAGTGTAATTCATAGCTTTTCTTTTTTTGAACAGCTTCTTCCCACTGACAGAAGGGAATATGCACACTATTCAAAGTCTCTGTCCATTTCTGTCAGAAGAAGACAAGAGAGAACTGGTTGCTCACTGTATACCTGCCCTTTTGGTCTGGACCAAGGAAGATCTTTACAGTGTAAATGGTTAGTTCCTTGATGATAAATAGTCTATTCATTTAATTATTGCTTAAGATGAACGAAGCGTCTTTTAACATCTGAATCCAAATCTAGGAGTTAAAATTAAGTTGAATTAAGTTATAGCTGATCTGTTCCTGGTTTATACGTGTGCTGAGTAACAAGCTGACAGTCAGCAGGATGAGTGTCTTTGGAGAGTGCCCATCACCATGTTGTAGGACAGGAACACTGCAGTCTTCAGGGAGGGTTTACAACCACAAATATCCTCTTTCTAATCATTTCCTTTTCATCTGTAGCTTTTAAAAAAAAAATCCTCTCCCTCGGACATGCGGGGAGAAAGAGGGAAAGAAACGTCAGTTGTTAGCCTCTCATACGGGCCCCAAACAAGGGCTGAACCCGCTATTCCAGGCATGTGCCCTCACCAGGAATTGAACCCACAACCTTTTGGTTTCTGGGCAACACTCCAGCCAGCTGAGCTGAACCATCCAGAGCCTGTCTGTAGCTTTTTAAGCTGTGCCTCCTCTCTCTCTTCCTAGTCAGCCAGTGATTGAACACAAAGTCAAATGAGGGAATAGCTTTTGTATTTTAAACTTGTTTGGACACCTTTCTATCTGTTAGTTCATCTGTTTATTAATTTAATAAACTCTATGGAATACGGGCTGTGTGTCAGCCTCTTTTGTAGAGAAGACAGACAGAAAATTATGTCGTGTGATAGATAAATGATGTAACCTCTGTGTGGAAATGGCAGAAAAGGAGTTCTCGACTCTGCTTTGAGTGTCTGGCAATTTCACAAAGAGAAATGTTTCAGCTGAGTGTTCATTTTCCATAGGGCCTTAGTTTGGGAAGGACAGAGTGCAGATAGCTCAGTTTAGCCCACGAAGGTGGGTTCTGAGACGGAAAGAAACAGACCCTAAGGCCTAGTTTGTGGCTGAGTTTGGACTTGGAGCTGTCAGAGCTGTTGGCCTGTGTCAGGTAGGAAAGCACACAGATCCCTCAGAAAGCGCATATTGACCACCGCTGGGGTGGGCACAAGAAGTGAGATGGGAGGAGACGGCTGTGTAGGAAGCTACTGGAGTAGTCCCAGAGACAAAGAGAGCTTAAATCAAGGCATAGATGAAAGAGAGGGTATGGAGATGCAAGAGATTTCAGACATAGAGTTGAAGGGGCTCTGGGATTATGTCCCGTATGGGGGAGATGGAAGCACCACTGGCCCTTGTAGAAAATCCATTAGGACATCTGAGGGTTAGGAGAATGGGGAAGGCGTATGCAGGGAGCTGATGCTACTTTTTAAATGCATGAGATGGAGATGCCTGTGGAATAATAAGTATTCAGATGGAGACTTCCAGGAAGCTGCAAGCCACTGACTGGGTAGCAGCAGTCCAGCCACCGAAGGCCACGGGGGCGTGGGTGGCATGAAGTCTGTAAATGAGGGTGAGCTTGTTCAGACACACTGCCAAGAGAACACCAGTACGGAATTAAAGGATGGGGGAGGCAGGGTGGAGACTTGAGAATAAGGACAAAAATTAAAGAGAAGCAAAGGAGAACTTTCAGGTAGTGCACACCGCCTGTGTTAAATGCCACAGAAGGTCGAATAAAATTAGGGACCAAGAGTGTAGGTTGGTGTTGTGGAGAGACTCGTTCTGAAAAGGTGCGGGCGGACCGCCTGTTTCAAGGGTTTGGTGAGAAGGTGGGAGCTGGAGGCAGTGACAAGGTCAAAGGGAAAGTACATGTGGGGAGGAGGAGGGATAGAAAATGGAGAGAGCCTGGCTGGCATAGCTCAGTGGATTGAGTGCGGGCTGGGAACTAAAGTGTCCCAGGTTCGATTCCCAGCCAGGGTATATTCCTGGGTTGCAGGCCATGACCTGGGGGTCATGAGAGACATCACATTGATGTCTCTCTCCCTCTCTCTCTCTCTCTCCCCTCCCTTCCCTCCCTAAAAATGGATGAATAAAATCTTTAAAAAAAAAAAAAGAAAGAAAATGGAGAGAACAATTGGGCAAGTTCCCAGGAGCAGAGGGGGAGGCGAGAGGGTGGGGTCTTGAGCACCATTGGAAGATGTCAGCCTCCTGGGTGGTGGCTCTCCTCTGAGATGAGGTCAGGCGGGGGTGTGCAGATGCCAGTACAGGGTTGGGACCCTGGTGTGATCCTGACTGACGCGCTTCAGTCTCTTCAGCCTGGGCTGGAACGACGGTAGAAGCTGCGCCATCAGCAAGCATGGGAGGCATTGCCACACTGACACCCCGGGCCACCCGTGCCAACAGTAATTTTCTGGGCGGTTCTGCAGCAGGAAGCAGTTGACCCAAGTGCACAGAGGAGAGGGGCACCTGGTGGGAGCAGGTGATGTCTCCAGTACAGGCTGCACCCAGAACGGCAGAGAGGTGGGGGCAGGGGTGGATGGCAGTGCCCCTGCCTGGAAGGTGTGCAGGCCCGGCAGGGGGGGCACTGAAGGAGGACAGATGTTTCTGATGTTTGACAACCAGATTTGCTCTTTCAGCCCAACCAATGAGACAGAATTAGTTATTTCTGCTTATGCAGGGGAGGGCATGAGTAGGTTTACAGTTGTGAGTATGTGAAACAGTTTATTCTTGTATTATTATTATTATTGTCTTTTCCATACAAACAACTGTAAACTACCTTTGCCTACCCTGTACCATGAATCTCTTCTATTTTGCGAGCCAGATTTAAAAAAAAAAAAAAAACACCTTTCTCTGCCTCTAAAGGAAGAGTAAAGGCATTACACAGCCAGCCCTTGAACAGTATGGATTTGAGCTGCGTGGGTCCTCTCTTGCACAGGTTTTTTTCAGCACAGGTCCGGTTTCCCCTGCGTGCACCCAGTGTTGTCTTTCTGCAGTGGGGAACCTGCAATGCAGAGGGCCTGACTACACGTTGTTCCAGGCGATTTTGTATGCGGGAGTTGAGCGTCTACAGATTTTGGTGTCATGGAGTGGGGTGTCTTGGAACCAGTTCCCCACAGATTCGGAGGGATGATGGAAGTTTTGGGAGAGGCAAAAGTTACATGCAGATTTTCAGCTGCATGGGGATTGGCACTTCTGACACCCTTTCAACCCCTGGAACTTCTCAAGAGAGTGCTAATCTCTGTGAAAGTCGACTTTTTTAGTAGCAGTACAATTAAAAAAATTTTTTTAAAGATTTTACTTATTTACTTTTATAGAGAGGGAAAGGGAGGGAGAAAGAGAGGTAAACAGCAATGTGCAAGAGATACATTAATCAACCGATTTGAAATCAAATAGGTTGAATTCAAATCGGTTGATCAATGGGGACCCGGCCTGCAACCCAGGCATGTGCCCTGACTGGGAACTGAACCAGTGACCCTTTGGTTCACAGGCAGTCCACTGACCCATACCAGCAAGGGCAAAATTTTTTAATTTTGAATTTTGAATTTTTTATAGGAGGTTTTGGACATCTTGCCATTTTAAATTCTTGTCTGCAAACCAGAAGCATAGATGATGCAGAGGTATTACATGGTATACTGAGAATCCTGATATGCTGGAAGGTAGACTATGAAGATCTTTTTCTTCTCAGTTGGTAGGTGATACTTTATACTATGTTTGCCTCCCTGTATACAATCTGGACATAGAATATGTATTTTATAGTCACAGCTTTGTAAGTAATAGGATGGTAGACACCTAAGTCACTCTTTTATAAGAATATAAGATTTAAAATAGAATATTTCTAAGAGACTGTCTGTATAATTCTTTCATGCTTTTTTGTTTACTTTGCTTTTGTCTCTATCCCAGTAATCTGTCTGAAGTGAGTCCAGAGGTCCTGTCAGTGAACATAGAAATCATGCGGTTCCTCTCCCTGTTCGTCAAGTGCTGCTACCCTCCACTGTCTGAGAACGAGTGGGACTTTGTCCTGTGCTGCATGCTGGCCTGGCTTGAGGTAGGGTCACCTGGCATCCTGTGGGTCTCCATGCGGCTCTCGGTCCGGAACGGTCAACCAGTCGTGTTACCCAGTGGTTGTCATCAGCGCCTTTGTGGCTGTGTGCTCCTCGCCCTCTGCAATTTCACTGACAGTGAAACGATAGCTTTGATGTCGGCCAGTGTCATTCGGTGACCAGGCTCCTAGCTGCTGTCGGACGGTTCTCCCCATTGGCTCAGGTTAATGGAATAGCTGCCGCACAGCCCTTGCTGGTTTCGTCTTTCCGTGGCCAGCCTTTTGGACTTTCTGATTCTCACTGTTCTTGAGGCCCAGGTGTCACTGTTGCCAGAGTAACCCTCAAAGGCCAAACGGGTTTACAGGGAACCAGTGTGGTCCTGGCCCAGAGCAGCCGGTTGCATCCCTGCTGTGGGCTCCCTTGCAGCACACTGGGCGGGGTGGATCAGCCTGGATCTCGGCTCCGCCTGCTCTTGGCTGGGTGCTATCTGGCTTGGGGTTTCTAATTTGACCTAGTCGAGCCTCAGTCTCCGTATTTTAAAATAATTTAATAATGCCTAGTTAGTAGGGCTCCTGAGAAGATTATAGATGGTGTTTTTAATATGTTTCACTTGGTAACCGGTAATTGATATTATTTTCTTTTGTAGTTTTAGAAATAAAAAGCATTTCAAAATAAATGGGTTGATTCTAATTTGTACTACTTAGTTTTGAAAAAAGTAATTTTGATGTAAACTGTATAATGTCTTCTGAGACTATACTTCAGTTGCCTTTGATTATAAAACGTAGAGAAATGAAAGGGACTTCTGTGTTGCCTTGATTTTTTATTTTCTGGAGGAGGTCTGCTGACCTGTGTAACTTTGGTTTTCTGCAGACCACGATCGAGAACCACGAGCTGTGCCATGTGCCCCTGATCCAGTTGTTTGCCTGTGTCAGCTGCGATCTGGCCTGTGAGCTCAGTGCCTTTTTCGAGTCCACAATTCCAGATTCCGTGGGCTACCTCCCTGAAAATCTGATCATTGAATGGAAAGAATTTTTTTCCCAAGGCATCCACAGTTTGCTCTTACCTCTTTTGGTTACTGTTACAGGCAAGTAAAAAAGGGAGATTCATTAAGAATGAATCACTTATCAAAAATTTCAAAATGTCTTTGGATGTTTAAGTCAAACAGTGCAAAATAGTCAGAGAAGAGACCAGAGAGAAAGCCTGGCCCCTCAGAAGTACCATGCGCTCAGTTCCTGATCCGATTTGAAAAATGACAAGGCATCCAAGGCCACTGCAGGTTATAGTGACAGCAACTTGGACGACAGAGAGAGGTCCTTTGTAACTTGAACCTCTCTGTCCTTTTTAAAAATGAGATGCTGGAAGTCATTGAACAGTTGAGATCATTTGATGTTATGTGTGTTCAGTTTACGTTTCCAGTTGCAAGGGGTTAATGTCTGTCAAGTTGTTATGTCATTTTCTCTAATAACATTTGATTATCTGTGAGTCATTCAAGCCGCATTGCTCATTTTGTTTTGGGATGTACACCTTTTTCCTTTTTGTCATCAGAGCAGAGCAACGATACATCTGAAACATCCTATCAGAATGCGATGCTGAAGCCCATGTGTGAAACGTTAACGCACATCACAAAAGATCATCTGCTGAGTCACAAGCTCCCTGCAATGTCACTTGCTGGGCAGAAAACGAACTTGCCGGAGCACCTCCAGACTCTGCTAGACACACTGGCCCCACTGCTCCTCTTCAGAGCTCGGCCCGTGCAGATTGCTGCCTATCACATGCTGTACAAGTAAGAGCTCTGAGTTGGTGTTGTAGTGCTCTGAGAGAGAGAGTGTGTATTTGGTTTTAGTTCTTAGTCATTAAAAATTCAAAGTTGCCCTGACCAGTGTGACTCAGTGGGTTGAGCACCAGCCTTCGAACCAAAGGGTCACTGGTTCCATTTCCAGTTGGGGCACATGCCTGGGTTGTGGGTTGGGTCCCCAGTGGGGGTTGCACAGGTGGCGTCTACACATTGATGTGTCTCTCCCTTTTCTCCCTCCCTTCCCCTCTCTAAAAATAAGTAAATAAAGTCTTTCTTAAAAGTTTCAAAGTTAAAAAGAAAATGAAAACAAAGTAAACTTGACCACGCAATTTTTAATGACAGGCAATGCCAAGTTTTTGGTCTTTGGGTTCACTGTTCTCCATCCAGAGTTATCTTTAGGTAGTCCTGGCCATAGGTAGTTATTTCAGAAAACATTAAAGAATATTTTTATTACTAGAAAAGTATTGGTCTTTCCGCTCTTAAGCATAATTTTTAACAACAGACAATTTAAAATAAAATAATTTAAAATAATGTTCTAATTTACAGGTTGATGCCAGAATTACCACAATATGATCAGGATAATCTAAAGTCAGATGGAGATGAAGAGGAAGAACCAGCCCTGTAAGATTTTTAATAGTGTGTTTTATTATATTCTCATAACCTGTCTCGCCTGTAGCAGCCTCTGAAGACTGAGGCTATGCAGAAGCTCTCAGCACAGAGTGCCTGTTACTTCCTGGATCTGTCACAACCATCTGTAGACATCAGTGCAGCCTAGCGTTCATCCAAAAAGGATCGGTCCTCTCGCATCTTAATTGCTCCTAAATCATATATTCAGTTTGCTACTATTTAGTAAAGAATTCTTTTTGGCCATGTGGTATCTTTTGTGGCCAAAAACATCAATGGAGCACCTGTTTTGTGGGAAGTATTGACTAAATGCTGAGAGAAGAATACAGTGTTTAATAGATGTTCTTGTTCTTAAGGAGCTTGCAGTCTGAGGCAGACAGTAGCACCTGTAGTAGAAGCCAGCGTGTGTGACAGGTGCTGGAAAAAAGGAGGAGTGGCAAGTTATGGGGCCACGCTGCTGTGCACCAGGACGGGAAGACTGTCTTGCAGAAGAGACAGCTGTGCTGGGCCCTTCAGGGTGGGCAGCGTGCCAGCTGGGCAGGAGGGCCATGCAAGTGCAGGGAGCCCCCGGCACAAAGGTGGGGCAGTGCGAGTGCTCTGGGTGTGCTGGGAATGTCGAGCCGTCACCACGTAACTTATTTTTTTATTGTCTGTGTCTTCTTCCACGGGACTTAAGCTCTGGGAAGACAGGGATTTTTGTTTCTTCTTGGTTATTTGCATGACACCCAGAATGGCTCCTGGCCTAGAGCAGACTTGGGAGTGGTCTTCATTTGTGGAGGGAAAGAATAAACGAACGAGTGTGTGGAGTTGGGGGAGGCGGCGGTGTAGTGGAAGATGAAGCTGGAAGGTACTTAAAAATGACATTTTTTTAGGATTTGCGCATTATTTGGTAGAAGATGGGATATCACCAACTGATACTGACACTAGTATGAAGCATAAAGTATACACAGAAGCAAGCAGGAATAGAGACCATCCCAGGAATCATAACGTGTGCAGGCGGCGTGGAAAGGGAGAGGTAGCTGAGCCGGTGCTTGAGAAGCCTAGTGACTTGTCTCCTGGAAGAGAGAGAGGCTGGTGTGCGAGGGAGGTGTCGGGGGAGACACCTATGTGCAGGAGCAGGGAGACCCAGGTGTGAGGGCAGGAGGAGGCAGCACGGGGACCGGGACATGGGTGAGAGGAGAGAGCAGCACTCGGCAGGGTTCCTGCCCTCTGCCAGGGTTTCGCTGGCCGCAAGTCTCTGAAGTTCACCTGGCAGTGGTGGTGAGTGCACGCTTCCATGATGGCCACGCTTACCTGGCATGGTTGTGAATTGATGATGAACTTCCTGAGACAATGGAAGCTTGTGTGGTCTCCACACCATTACAGCGTGAGAGGGCTTGGTGGGACTTGGCTGTCTGAGGGACTATGGTCATTTCAGCTTTTCTGGGCATGTGATTTTTTTTTCCATCTGCAAAACAGAATGTTGAAATAGGTGTTTTCTAAAAGGAATTTTAAGTGGTAACTTTTAGAGTCTATACTGTTACAGCATGTTACATGTTTTTTATATTTATAAGTATTTTATATGTAATATTTGTTACTTTAGTGTATTACATATATCTTTTACACTTACATATTTATAAATAAAAATATGTACAATACACATATTTTTATGTATAAATCATATGTATTTGTATATTTTATATCTTTTAAGTTCTGTAATTACCATTATGTGAAATTAGGAGTTAAAGCTGAGTTTACAAAGGGAGAGTTTGAGTGGTATTTGGAAAATAGAGAAGGTTTTTCTAGACTGTGAGGGTTACATGTGTGGTTGTGTGTTAAGGGGGTGAGGTGTGAGGATGACTATGCTGGCCCCTTGTTCACAGGTCCCCGCCAGGGGTGCTGATGTCTCTGCTCAGCACTCAGGAGGACTTGCTGGATAGCGTCCTGGGGTCTGTTCCTGTGGGACAGATCGTCACGATCAAGCCACTGAGCGAAGACTTCTGCCATGTCCTGGGCTACCTCCTCACCTGGAAGTTAATACTGACTTTCTTCAAAGCGTCTTCCTCTCAGGTCAGTGAGTATGGGGCAGCTTTTGACAGTCCTGTCCTAAGGAAATTTACCTTGTTTAAAAATCAGGCTTTAGAGAAAGAGCTACAAAGCATTACCTACGTAGTTCAAGGTGTTATCCCTAAATGCTGAAAATAGCCTGTTGTAATTTGCTCAAACTGTTCTGCAGGCACCAGATGTCTCCATCACCTTATGTTTAGGAAGAAAGCTTGGAAAATCTATTCCTTTTTTTTTTTTCTTAATTGTTTTAGGCAGATACTGACTTAAAAAATTTCTATCAAACTTTGATTGAATCACTGTAATCAAGCTTCTTTGACAGGTCAAGACTTCGTTTATCACTTCATTTTGAAAGTATGGTATTCATTTCCGATGTGATTTTTCAGAATGCGTAAATTACAGCTATGTTGTTGGAAATGACCCATGCCTCAGCACAAATGTGTCTGCATGTGCATGTTAGCGTTTGCCTCTCTGAGGGGGAAACCATGGTACAGAGGCAGTGCAGAATGGGCTGTGGGGACCCTGGCCTTCTCTCTAGGCCTGCAGAGTGCCCTGAGCTAGTTTTGTTTGCTGATGACAAACTGCAAGAGCTCACTGTTGGGCTTTAACATTGGTTTCTTTCTTTCTTTCTTTTTTTTAGTTATGTATGTATGTATGTATTTATTCAGTTGTTCTATTACAGTTGTCCTGATTTTTCCCCCTTTGCCCTCCTCCACTCAGCCCACCCCCTGCTCCCACAGTTAGTCCCCACACCGCTGTCCATGTCGATGGGTTGTCATACATGTTCCTTCACTAGACCCTTCCCCTTCTTTTCCCTGCTCCCCCCTCTCCTTCCCCTTTGGCCAGTGTCTGTCCCATGTTTCTGTGCCTCTGGTTTATTTTGCTCATTAGTTTATTTTGCTCATTAGATTCCTCTTATAGGTGAGAGCATATGGTATTTGTCTTTCACCACCTGGCTTATTTCACTGAGCATTATGCTCTCCAGGTCCATCCATGCTGTCACAAAGGGTAGGAGCTCCTTCTTTCTTTCCGCTGCGTAGCATTCCATTGTGTAAATGTACCACCATTTTTTGATCCTAGTATTCCATTTATTTGTAAATACACCACTCATATACTGATGAGTGCTTAGGCTGTTTCTGGCACTTGGCTACTATAAATAATGCTGCTATGAACGTTGGGGTGCACAGGTTCTTTTGAATTGGTGTTTCTGGATTCTTAGGGTGTAATCCCAGCAGTGGATCACTGGATCAAAAGGCAGTTCCATTTTTAGTTTTTGAGGAAATTCCATACTGTTCTATAGTGACTGCACCAATGTGCTACGTTTGTTTCCTAAAATATTGTTGATGTCCAAAATATTGCAGAGAATTGAGGCCAGTATGTGTATGTGGGAGTTTTGGTCTTGTCATTTTACATATAAATGTGGACACTGGCCATGCTCCATCTTTCCCACTGAACCAGAGGTGGGAGGGACGCAAGGAGTTAACGGGCGCCTGCGTGAGCCAGCAGCCTGCACAGAGCTGTGGACAGATGAACTAGAGTGATGCCCTAAAAGCAGTGATTGGAAGGGTCCTATAAATAAATAAAATCTAGCCCTGGCCAGCATAGCTCAGTGGATTGAGCGCGGGCTGCAAACCAAAGCATCGCAGGTTCGATTCCCAGTCAGGGCACATGCCTGGGTTACAGGCCACGGCCCCGAGCAACCGCACAGTGATGTCTCTGTCTCTCTGTCTGTCTCTCTGTCTCTCTCTCTCTCTCTCTCTCTCTCTCTCTCTCTCTCTCTTCCTCTCTTCTCTCTCCCTTCCCTCTCCAAAAATAAATAAATAAAATCTATAAGTAAATAAATAAATAAAATCTAAATGGATCCTATAACAGAATTTTAAAGAAATGAACCTTAATTGGTCCTAAACCTGGTCAAAAACTCCTAGTGAAGTCAGATTAAACTGAAATCACAATGTAACTTAGACCATTTTTAGCACTAGGAAAGGAGACCCTCACCCATCTGCAATCACTTCCTATTGCCTCTCCAACCCTCCAGCCCCTGGCAACCCCAGTCTGTGTCCGTCTCTGGATTTGCCAGCTGTGGACATTCCCACACATGGCCTTCTGCACCTGGCTTATTTCACATAGCATGTTTTCATGGTTCTTTCATGTTGCAGCATGTATCAGTGCCGGGTTCCTTTTTATGGCTGGACAGTATTGTCCCATGTGATCTATAAACCACAGTGTGAGTGTGACACATTCATCGTTGGTGAGCACTTCTGCTTTCATGTGGGGCTGTTGTGAATGAAGCTTCTGTGAACGTTCATGTATGGATTTTTGTGTGGACATGTTTTCAGTTCTCTTGTGTTGTACACCTAGGAGTGTGATTGTTAGGTAACATTTATGTTTTTAGAAGCCCATTTGATATATGATTAATTTTTTAAAAATATATTTTGTTGATTATGCTATTACAGTTGTTTCATTACCCCCCCTTCATTCCCCTCCACCCTGCATACCCTTTCCCACCCACATTCACCCCCTTTAGTTCATGTCCATGTGTCAGAAGTTCTTTAGCTTCTACAGTTCCCATACTATTCTTGCCCTTCCCCTGTCTGTTTTCTACCTACCATCTATGCTACTTATTCTCTGTACCTTTTCCCCCTCTCTCCTCCTCCCAGTCCTCTGTTGCTAACCCTCCATGTGATCTCCATTTCTGCGGGTCTGTTCCTGTTCTAGTTGTTTGCTTAGTTTGTTTTTGTTTTTGTTTTAGGTGTGGTTGTTAATAGTTGTGAGTTTGCTGTCATTTTACTGTATATGGATTTTTTAATCTTCTTTTTCTTAGATAAGTCCCTTTAACATTTCAGAAAATAAGGGTTTGGTGATGAACTCCTTTAAGTTGACCTTATCTGAGAAGCACTTTATCTGCCCTTCCATTCCAAATGATAGCTTTGCTGGATAGAGCAATCTTGGATGTAGGTCCTTGCCTTTCATGACTTGGAATACTTCTTTCCAGATCCTTCTTGACTGTAAGGTCTCTTTTGAGAAATCAGCTAACAGTCTGATGGGAACTCCTTTGTAGGTGACTGTCTCCTTTTCTCTTGCTGCTTCTAGGATTCTCTCCTTCATTTTTACCTTGGCTAATGTAATGATGATGTGCCTTGGTGTGTTCTCCTTGGGTCCAACTTCTTTGGGACTCTCTGAGCTTCCTGGACTTCCTGGAAGTCTGTTTCCTTTGCCAGAATGGGGAACTTCTCCTTTATTATTTGTTCAGATAAGTTTTCCGCTTGTTGCTCTTCCTCTGCTCCTTCTGGTACCCCTATAATTCGGATGTTGGAACGTTTCAAGATGTCCTGGAGGTTCCTAAGCCTCTCCTCATTTTTTTGAATTCTTGTTTCTTCATTCTTTTCAGTGTGGTTATTTCTTTCTTCCTTCTGGTCCACTTCGTTGATTTGAGTCCCAGTTTTCTTCCCGTCACTATTGGTTCCCTGTGCATTTTCCTTCATTTCACTTAACGTAGCCTTAATTTTTTCATCTAGTTTGTGACCAAATTCACCCAGTTCTAGGAGCATCCTAGTCACCAGTGATTTGAACTGTGCATCTGATATGCTGGCTATCTCTTGGTCGCTTAGTTGTATTTGCTGTGGAGCTTTGATCTGTTCTTCCATTTGAGCCATCTTTTTTTTTTTTTTGGCTTGTCACGCCTGTTACATATGAGGGGCGGAGCCTTAGGTGTTCCCCAGAGCGAGGCACCCCAATGGCTAGGTTGTGACTCTGTATGTGGGGGCAGGGTCCAAGAGAGAACAATGGTGCTTGCTCCACTCTCCGTTGGACCTCAGTCCTTTCCGCCGCTCCCCTCAAGCAAACTGGGCCCCTCGTGCCAATTCCCATGTGGGTGGGCTTGTGCACCCTGTGCGACTTTTCTCCTGTGAGGCTAGGAGTCTCTCCTGGCACCTCAACCCCCACAGGTGTTTTCAGTCAGTGCCCAGAGGTTCTATTTCCTGGTGATGGGACCCTGGGTTGCACACAGTGCCTTGTTTCACAATTGCTGCCTTGCTGGGTCTGCCGGTTGCCACCCCTCGGCCGGGGTCTGCCAGCTGCCGCTTGTGCACCCGGAGTCCACCCACTGCCGTCTTGTGCGCCCTGGATGCCTTATGTGCTCGGTCCCAATGCTCTCTGCTGTCTGTGCCGAGACCCACGCCCAGCTTCCCGACTCCGCCCCTCCTGCCGATCTGGATGAACGTGTCTATTTTAACTCCTTGGTTGTCCAACTTCCATACAGTTCAATTTTCTGTCAGTTCTGGTTGTTATTCTGTTTCTAAATTGTTGTCCCTATTTTAGTTGTGCGAGGAGGCACAGTGTGTCTACCTATGTCTCAATCTTTGTGATTAATTTTTTTTAATTCTCCTTTCCTTTCTACTTTTTTTTTAAAAGATTTTATTTAGCTTTTAATGAGAAGGGAAGGGAAGGAGAAAGAGAGGGAGAGGGAATATCTGTGTGGTTACCTCTCATGTGCCCCCCCCACCAGAGACCTGACCCACAACTGAGGCATGTGCCTTGACTGGGAATTGAACCTGCAACTTTTTGGTTGGCAGGCCCATGCTCAATCCACTGAGCTACACCAGCCAGGGCTCCTTTCTACTTTGTATTTTGAAAAACTTCAGTTATAGAGAAATTAAAAGAATAATTCAATTAAGTCACATACATTTTTCCTACAGTCACAGATTTTTAACATTTGCATGATTTCTCCATATTTACTTTTTCCCTGCTGATCTGTTTGACAGTAAGTCAAAGATATCATCATGCTTTACCAAAAGTCTTTCAATACGCATACCCTAAGAACAAGGATGCATTTACACATAAGTAATATAATTATTACCCTCAAATTTTTTGGATGCAATGGTACTGATTTGCATTCAAATTTCCTAGTCAGTGTCCATTACAGCTCTCTCCCCACCTCTGTGGAGGATGGAGTTGAGGGTTGTGGGTGCATTTGTTGCCATATTTCTTTAGCCTGGAGCTCCCCACCTTCTCTTTGCTTTCATTCTGCAGGTCAGTGATTTAGTGGACTGTCTTACAGTTTGGATGTGTCTGATTGTTGCCTCATGATTAGATTCTGGTTAATTTTCCACCAGAGTGCTGACACCACCACTCCCCACCATGGTGACATGTCCTCATTTTCTCACCTCTGGGGGCGCAGAGTGTCGGTGTGTCCTTCATTGGTGACACCAAATTTGGTTACTTGGTAACGTTAGTGTCTGCCAGAATTCTCCATTTTAAAGGTACATCGATCAAGATATTTTAAGACTCAGTTCCACCCCTGGCTGGAGTGCTGGCCTGTGAACCAAAGGGTTGCCTTGTCGATCCCTAGTCAGGGCACGTGCCAGGGTTGCAGGCCAGGTCCCCAGTGCGGGGCGCTTGAGAGGCAACCATGCACTGATGTCTCTCTCCCTCTCTTTCTCCTTCCCCTCCCCTCTCTAAAAATAAATAAATAAAATCTTTAAAAAAAAAATCAATTCCAAATGCCATGGCTTGATCCCTATATTTGAGCACCCATGGTGTTTGGAAAATGGGGCCTTTGTCCTGTGAGGAGCTGGAAGAAATCATTGTGAAACAGGTACAGAGAGCTGTGGTGTCTCCATGAGCCCATGAAAACTGCGGGGCCGCTGAGGGACGGGCTCCAGAGCCTGGGCCTCCCAGGGGCTGCAGCATGGCCCGTGGGGCAGGTTCTCCTAGTTTAAGAAACAGAATTCCATATTTTTGTGTGAAATTTCCTGATTTATGAAAGAAGACATGTTGAACTTCTGGTCCACGCTCTCTGTCCTGAAGCGGGGTGGAGTGTTTCTTATAGGGTGGGGTCGGCCGTGGAAATGGAATTAATTTTAGGCACGATTTGGAAGGATGCAGGACTGTGGTGTGGAAGGAGTGTGGGGATGGTCAGCGAGTCTCCGGGGAGGTGAAGGTGGGAACGGGAAGGTGGTTTCAGGGGGGCGTTAGAAGCACATACCACACGATGAGGGGTGGTGGTGACGTCTGCTCATGGATGTGGAGGGGAGGCCATGGTGTGTCGGACGGCACACAGGGAGGGTCGGGACATGGCATCCCTTTGGTAGAATTCCTGGATGCAGTTCTGAGTGCTCACGTTAATTGTTTTGTGTGGTGCTGTTTGGCAGTCTGTTGTACTTTGATTTGTTCTTATCTATCAATTATCTTGTTTTAATAGGTTTACTAACACATGTTTGCTTTCCACCAGCTTCGGGCTCTGTATTCAATGTACCTCCGGAAAACAAAGAGTTTAAATAAACTGCTCTATCACCTGTTCAGGCTCATGCCAGAAAATCCGACCTGTGCAGAGGCGGCTTCTGAGCTCTCTAACAAGGAACCTAAGACTTTCTTCACGGAAGAGCTGCAGCTGAGCATCAGAGGTCAGTGAGGGATGAGGCGCGTGTGTGTGGTTCTCCTGAACCCCACGAGGTTCAGACCTGTGGGTGGGGCACGGCCCCAGTCTTGAGCCCAAGTACAAGGATTTCCATGCTTCTCTGAGTGGGACCTATGGCGAGATTGGTGGGTGGTGTTTTTGAAAACTTTGTAAGTGTTTAAAGCCTAGTTTGCTGAGACTTATCTTTTACTCTATAAATAAGTATTTGTTGTGTGACAGTGTTTTATAGGAGAAACAAAGATGAGTAAAATGCACTCCCTTCAGTGTGGGAGCTCAGATTTTAGCTAAGGGGACAGGCATCTGGCAGTACTAGTGTGTTGTCGTCGATTCTGAAGGACAATTTTGTAAATGCCTTCGAGCAGTGAGGGTGGGGCAGGGGGCTGAGTGGGATCCCAGACCACCGCAGGCGCAGCAGCGATATGGGGAGCGAGGGGGGCCAGCTTGCTGTCGTCTTCCGTCGTCCCTCCTGCGTCACTCTGTGTGTTTCATGTATTTGTGGCTTTTCATGTGAAATCCAAATGTTGTTTCTGGGCAGATTTTCCAGTGTCAGTTTGGAGCATCTTTTACTTCTTTTTGCCATCCTAAGGGTTCATTTTAAATACGTAGGAAAAAGCTAATACTGTAGAATTTTAGTTTCTTTGGTAATTTTTTATGAGCTGTAGCACTCATGTTGAGGAATTAGGATTTTCTAAGGAAAAGACTCATATTAGTCTGTTACTGTATGTACGAAATACACATTACTCGGAGTTTGCCGTTTTCTCAGAAATGACGACTCTCCCTTACCACATTCCGCACTTGGCGTGCTCGGTCTACCACATGACCCTGAAGGACTTGCCTGCCATGGTCCGGCTGTGGTGGAACAGCAGCGAGAAGCGGGTTTTCAACATCGTGGACAGGTTCACGAGCAAGTACGTCAGCAGTGTGCTCTCCCTCCAGGAAATCTCTGCTGTGCAGACCAGCACGCAGCTGTTCAACGGCATGACGGTTAGTGTGCTTCTGGGTTCGCTCTGGGAAGGTGGTTTTAAATGTGGAGTCTGACGTCGGCAGCAGTGTGCCCACGGGGCCAGGACCCGCAGGAACTGCCCACTGTGCTTGCTGGTCCTCGTGTGGCAGGTCCCAGTGCTGACGCGTGGGTGGTACAGAGCCACCAGCCCAGTCCCCCAGCGCTCATCGGTTCACAGAAACTTGTCTTGTGGCATCCGGATGGACACGCGGGCCCGGTGCCAGCTGGGGGGTCGGGCCACCCAGTGCAAGGGAGGAGAAACAGTGACTGTGGGTTCTGCACTGGAACGGGACAATGGCACGTGGGTAGGAAGGGTGCTCTGTGAGCGCGGTGGGGGGTCATCGGCGGAGGGACTTCTTGGAGGAAGCCACTGTGAGGTGAGCAGGAGTTTGTTCTGGGAACACGTGTGGACAGGCATCCCGTGTGGAGAACACAGTGTGGCAGCAGCACACGGCACGGCTGTGCCTGTCCCAGAAAGGAAGAGTCACCCAGCGTTCAAGCAGAGTGGGTCTCCTGCGGGCGAAGGTCAGAGAACAGGCAGCCCCTGTGATGAGTTAGGACCACACTGGGATTGGCCTCAGGCAGTATCCTTAAAAAAAGTTGTCCCTGTTTAATCACTGAGAAGTTTCTTGAGGCTGTGATGGGTCTGAGCTATCAGGCGACATTGCTGTGACTCTGTTAGGAAGCCGGGGTGGCAGGCCTGGACCGCAGCATTGTGGGAAGACTGAGGTGGCTGCTGTGAGCACAGGGCGGCCTGAGTGAGGCAGTGTCGGTGGGGACGGAAGCTAGGTGGGGGTTCATTCAGACTTGCGGCTGGTGGAGAGCAGAAGGGAGAATTGAAGACGGTAGGTCTTTAGCCTGGAAATAGGAAAATCTGAAGAATATATTTGTAAAGGGTGGTCACTTGTGTTTTATGTTGAGTTTGCAATACTATATATGAAGACCAAAACTGGGTATAAATGTTTGACTCTAAGTTCAGGAGAATTCTGTGGTACAGAAAGACGTGACAGACGTCCAAATACACCTAGCACCTGCCATGTTGGAAGACAAGGAATAATTATTAACCCATTCTGTCATTTCTGTTCAAAAACTACGAGTATTATGTGGTCAACCTTATATAATAATGGAATACAATGTTTTATGAGCAATGTATTGTAAAACAAACTTTGAATGTCGTAAAATCTCTATAAAATACAGTTGGCTCTCCTTATCTGTGGGTTCTCCATCCACAGGTTTAGCCAGCCTCGGATGGAAAAGCAGAGTTGGTTTCCAGGGATTTAGACATGCAGAACCAGGGACTGGAGCCCTGCAGGTTGTGTTCTGGGGGGGGTCAAGGGGGGCGGGTCCTGCAGCTGGTCCTCATGGATGCCAAAGGGAAACTGTATGTTAGGTATTTATTAAATATAGCAGTCAGATACATGAATGTGTTTACCTGTGTTTTCTTTGAAGGGAAATTTTCACTTCTCATAGTTAACCTATGGAAATGATTTTTGAATGAAAGGAAAAGAAGAAATTTGTAAAAACAAATATCACCATTCATGTGTTGCAGGTCAAAGCTCGAGCTGCTACTCGAGAGGTCATGGCCACTTACACCATCGAGGACATAGTCATTGAGCTGATAATACAGCTGCCTCCCAACTACCCGCTGGGCTCCATCGCTGTGGGGAGTGGGCGGCGTGTGGGTGTGGCGGTGCAGCAGTGGCGCAACTGGATGCTGCAGCTGAGCACCTACCTCACCCACCAGGTGGGTTTCCAGCTGCTGAGCTGCTGCGGGATGCGACAGCAGAACCTAGAATACGTCTCTCTGCTTGAGGTGGAATGGGGACCTTACAGGTTCTTGGATGAGCACAGATTCCATGCCTGAACAGCTTGTGCCTGTCAACCTGGTGTCCTTGTTAAGGCTCTACAATTTTCTCTTTCTGGTGTTGGAGAAAAATTGGTTTGACTTCATTGACATTATAGATGATGTAGAAAATGTGTGTTATTAAGGACTTAAGGACATTGTTGAGAGGGAATTTCTTTGTATGATGCTGGACAGATGAATGTCTTTTGACGTATTCTAATGTTTAACTCTCCTGTGATTATTGAAATCCCAGTACTTTCAAAGACCTGTCAAATTTTTAGAAAGATTTTATTTATTTATTTTTAGAGAGGGGAAAAGAGAGGGAGAAAGAGAGGGGGAGAAACATCCATGTGCGGTTGCCTCTCACGCACCCCCTGCTGGGGACCTGGCCCGCAACCCAGGCCTGTGCCCTGACGGACTCCAACCAGTGACCCTCTGGTTCACAGGCTGGCACTCAACCTGCTGAGCTGCACCAGCCAGGGCTAGATTTTTGAAGCTGAGTGAAAATGACTAATTGGTTAAGTGTACATTTACTCTGTCTTTCTTCTTGTTAACAGAATGGAAGTATCATGGAGGGGTTAGCGTTGTGGAAAAATAATGTGGACAAGCGCTTTGAGGGCGTCGAAGACTGCATGATCTGCTTTTCAGTCATTCACGGTTTCAACTATTCTCTTCCCAAAAAGGCCTGTAGAACATGCAAGAAAAAATTCCACTCAGCCTGCCTGGTGAGTCTAAAAAGAAATGAACATTTATTGTTATACACATTATATATCTGTGATGTCTGACTTTGGACAAGAAAAGGATGGAAGATAACCTCAGCTGTAGTTGATGGGAGCATTGTAATCATTGGGTGTTTCTAATACAGCTCTCGGCACTGAAACAGCAGCTGGTCTTGTGACATCTAGAAGTAGACAAAAAAGTGGGGCTGCGGGCCGGCTCGCATCCGAGCGCAGGGCTGTGCGCCCCTCCCTCGCACTGATGCCAGTTGCTTTGCCCGCTCCGCCTCCAGGGCGGCGCCCTCGGGGGGCGGGGCCCTCGGGGGGCGGGGCCAGGCGCTGCGCGGGAAGTGCTGTTGCTGCGGACATGAAGGGGAGCCGTAAGACTTTAAAGTGTTCCCCGTGTTTTACGGTGGCGTTTTAAGGTTACTTTATGTAAAATGCCAGCTTTAAAAAGTTTTCACATTTAAAACCTTTTTTTTTCCCCCAGTATAAATGGTTTACCTCTAGCAACAAATCCACGTGTCCACTCTGTCGAGAGACCTTTCTCTGAGGTGTCTTTCCCGGAAGCGGAAGCGGCCCCTGCAGGGCAGCGGGGGCGTGGCCTGGGCACCACCCTCCGGGGCTGCGGCCGGAAGCCGCGCTGCGGCCGGAAGCCACGCTGCTGCTCGGTGTGACGTCGAACCGCCGGCCCCTTACCTGTAGGTGGCTTTGTAAGTGTTTAGAGTTCTTTTCTTTTCCATGTGAATATTACATATTTCAGAGAAAATATTTATATTAATAGTTTAATCTCTTTGTATATTTAAAAATAAATATGGGAGAACCCTGACTTACAGACCTGGAATTTGTGAAAGCCTTGTATTGATCCATGTTCTAGAACAGTCCAGTGAGGCAGGTGAATTGAGAGGGGTGATTTATACCTACGAATGTTTTAAGACTACGACAACAAAATTAGTATTCTGATATTTGTAGATTATTTTAATGACAAAAATGACACTAAGCTATTAATACAGTCTATCTTAAGGTGTTAGAAGCGTGCTCTGAAATCCTAGCTGTGCGGGGCCCCGATTTTCGCGGGCTGTGGCATTCGGAGGCCCCACCCGTGCCCCCAGCTGCGCGACGGCAGACCGTCCGCGCGCGTCTCACTGCCCCGAGTGAGCCCAGAGAGGGAGGCTTTGAGAGCACAGGCGTCCTTAGGAGGTTGTGTCCCGGAGGGTGGCGGCCCTCCGTGGGCGGGGGCGGGGGTGGGGGATGAGCGTTTATGAAACTTAAGATGGGTGGAAAAAACAAAAATATTTAAATGCTGTAGACCACTTTCAATTTTGTAAGCGAATTTCGCTGTTTACTGGCCAAAGTTACATTAAATTAGATTTGAGGGAGCTAATTTTTCCAGCCACGTTAAGAATTTTAGCACCAAGTGAACTGTAAAGTGGAGTGGACAGGCTGAAGTGCGGCAGGGGAGACCTGCCTTTCGCCTCAGCCTGTCCCCGCAGAAACTGTGCCCAAAATGCGCAGTGTGGGAGCCTGGGACTGGGGGAGCTTTGCTGCAGCCTCCCATGGTGTGGGCGACGACCGGCTCACCCAGCAGCAGGGTTTCGGAAAGGATCAGCCTATCACCTCTGTTGCAAACGTGCCACTGGCCAAAGGCAACTCCTGTCAAATGAAATAACTGGCTGCCATCACCTGGGTGCATGGTTGCTATCGACACAGTGGGAGTGTGTCAGAAGTGTCCCCGGGGGTCGCAGATCCTGGGGTTGCATTCGCAGGCGTGGGGTCCTGCCCCGGCCGGATCCCGGGCTTTGTCTGCAGTTGTCACCCTGGCAGCCTCGAGGCTCAGAGAGCAGTAGGTGACGGACAGACCGCAGAATTCTTCTACCTCTTCTTAACCCTTTTCTTAAAGTACTCTCTCTCACTGTGTCTCTCTCTGCCATAGGGACTAACCCAAAGGATTGTGGTACTCCTGTGAAAGTTACACACTTTTTCTTTAATTATTGTTCTGTAATAGGAGCCCGCCTTTAACTTTTGCAGTATTGCTACTTCCTGGCTCCTGACCCAAAACCCCAAGTAGAAAAGAGAAGGGAACGGTGGAGCCTCAAAACGTTTTCCCCAGTGACGTTCAGGCACCCATGTCCTGTGAAACCTGTACTAGGTGGGGCACCCACTCCTCGAACTTAGGCCTTTGGACGCACATATTGGGGAGTTGTACACATACCTGTGAAGTGTGTTGCTATTTATACGCTAAAGAGGAAGCTTTCCGAAATAAGACTGAGATTCAGAATACCACAATAAAGTTTTATTTATATACCTTCAGTGGCTCTAGAGAGCATCTCTTGAAATTCTGGCATATGGACATTTTAAGATTGCATGAGATTCAAAGCCCATTAGCAAATTATTAACTTAAAACCCCAATGTAAACTGCAAATTTCAGATTTTATTTTTAACTCTTATTTATCACATGCTCTAATGTCTGTATTTGAGTTTCTGTGGCTTGAATAATTAATGTTATTACTAAATAAGTTTTTTGCTGTGAATAATTAATGTTATTATCTGATTGTTATATCATGTGCTCATCAATTTTTTTTAACTACAAAATATGTCAGATGTACAGAATAATACAACATAAATGCCCTTTTACTCTTCACAAACTATTTTGCCATTTTTATTTCACTTTATTTTAAAGATTTTCATGTATTTTTAAAGAGAGGGGAAGGGAGGGAGAAAGAGAAGGAGAGAAACATCGATCTGTTGCCTCTTGTGTGCCCTGACCAGGACCAAACCCACAGCCCAGGCAGGTGCCCTGACCAGGAATGGGACTGGCAACCTTCCGCTCTGTGGAACGGCGCCCAGCCCACTGAGCCACACAGGTCAGGGCTTGCGTCTAAGTCTACAGAAATGAAATGTCACTCTCTCGCACTCCTCCCTGAGGACACGTCTGTCCCTCCCCGGAGCCAGTCTGGTAACTTGAAGTTGGTTGGATTCCTTCCCGTTTAAGAGTTTATACTTTACCACTTCATATTTATGGGTACGTGTTTGTGCCCATAAATAATATATAGCGGTTTCTTACACATTTATATTGGTGATGTGCTGTTGTATGTTGTGTTTCGTCACTTGCTTTTTCACTCGCCATCACTGCCGTTGAGCATCGCACAGCACCAGCTCACTCACCAGTTCCCCCACGGACGGCCGTTCCAGTTGCTCGTGTCTGTCCTCCTTGCGCCATTTTGGACGGGGCTGCACACGTACATTCCTGATAATGTGTTCTCATGCAGACGGGCTGAGTGTTCTGGACACGTGCCCCAAGGTAGACTTGCTGGCAGGAGACTGCTGCTCTCTGGCCGTGGACGTTGTCACACTGCTCTCGAGTGGTCGGTGTGCAGGTCTGCCCCGGAGAGAACCCAGTTTCCCCCTCCTCCTCACCACCACGCTGTCTCACCAGCGGTTTCAAGTTTCCTAGTCGGAGCTCTGAGACAGCAGGTCTTTGCTTTTACTTGTATTTACCTGGCTACCGGCAGTATTAGCTTCATTTCATATATTTATTCGTCATTATTTTGTGAATTTCTTATCTATATGCTTATTTTTCTCTTGGACTACTTGTGTTTTTATTGATCATAATGCTTTATCTGTGACAGGGTTGCTTCTAGTACAGGGCTGGACTTGAACGTGGTCTGTAGCTGTCTTCAATTGTACAGAATTTCCAGTTAAATTTAGTCAGATTTATCATTCTTTTCTTGTAAAATTTTGTTTGTTCCCCGAGGTTTAAAAACAGTCTGTGCTAATTCCCCTGAAATTAAATGATGTGGCTGTTGTAAGGTAGCAGTTGTAACCCATGTTGATAGCCAACCCCATAGCGTTGGCTGTTCAGCAGTGTGCCCGTCCCTGTGGTTGTGGGGCCTGGTCTCGCGTTCCCACACATGTGTGTGTGTGTGTATGTGTGTGTGTGTGTATTGGTTTCTAGGCTCTGTATTCTATTCCGTAGTTTCCTTTTTTTTTTTTTTTTTTAAGTGCTTTACAGTTAATCTTGAAGAGGAGGCAGAGTCCTCTGCTCTTGCTCTCCCGGATGTGCCTGGGACAGGTATTCCTGCCGCTCCGTACCCCCTGCTCACTCCTTCGTTTCATGACCGATTTGTCCGATGCAACAAGTCGTCTTAGAGAAGAATTCGGCAGATTTCCCTCTTAGATGTTCTCTGGTGTGACTGGGGGCTCTTCTACATTTACCAGGTCTTATCCTTGAGGCCTTACAACCCAGTTATCCTCACTTTGGTCATAAAATTAAAGGCAAAACATTAGCATATGTATTTGTGACAGGATCCTTGAACCTCTTCCTGAGTTTTTGTTTTATAAACTTCCTTGCAGAAGGACTTTGGGCTCAGCAGGGTGTGTAGCGTGGGGTGTGCTATTTGAATAACTTGAATAATGTTTTGTTTTTTTTGTTACAGTGGATTCTTAAGGACACCAATGTCTTTGGGTAGCACCAAGACATCAGATAATTAGCATCACTGGTGTTAAACGATGTTATAGTGATACCTGATGTGCTTAAGAAAACTCTGTTTCTATGGCATTCCAAATTAAGACACTAATTCAAAAATACACTGGCTGCAGTATGTTGACTTACTCTTTTAGTCTTAGCACTTTGAAGATAGCTTTCTGCTGGCTTCTGGCTCCATTCTGGCTGTTTGAGAAGTATTTTAATTGTCATTGATAATTGCTTTAATTGTCATTCCTTTATAGTAAGGGGTAGCAGAGTTACAGGGATAAGCACTAGGTATTTGGTGGCTTGTGGGCCTCGTGGGCTCTGGTCTGTGGCAGCTCTGCTCTGCATCTGGAAACCAAAGCTGCCGTAGGCAGTACAGGGCTGATGGTGCTCCTGTGTTCTGAGATTGCAGTTGCAAAATGTTTGCCGACCCTGCTGACCCGTGACTTGTCCGTTCCCTCTGACTGGCTTTTACAGTCACTGCCCCTGCGTCTGCAGTGCCACTGTCCATCTGGGTGAGGACCTCCCTGTATCCTGCTTACCCTTACAGGGCCAGTCTTCTTTTTAAACAGTCAATTCTGGAGAAATACTGGCTATTGTCTTTCCAAATATTGCCTCTCTTACATTCTTTTTGAGACTCTTGCTTTGCTAGACCTTTCCATTCTACCTGACATAATCATTCTCTTTGTGAAGATCTGTTACACTGTCCATGGTTGTTTTTTAATTCAACGATTCTGTCTCATTATTTTTAAAGATTTTCATTTATTTTTAGAGAGGTTAAGGGAGGGAGAAAGAGGAGAGAAACATAAATGTGTGGTTGTCTCTCACACGCTCTCTACTGGGGACCTGGCCCACAACCCAGGCATGTGCCCTGACTGGGAATCAAACTGGCGACTCTTTGGTTCGCAGGCTGGCACTCAACCCACTGAGCCACACCAGCCAGGGCCTGTTTTTCATTTTTAAAAGTTGTCTTAAATTTCTTTCTAAATATATGTTGCATGCTTTTCTTTGTGATGATGTTAGATCCTCAAACATTCTGTAATCTGAATGTATCAGTTCCACTGTTTATATTCCTCATGTGTCCAATTCTGTTGTGTCTTCCTGCTCTTACTGACTGTAGTTTAACTGCTTGGTGATTGATGGTCTGGATTCTTCCAATGTTGATTTTTTCATGTTGATGTTGCTACCCCACGTATATAGTATAAATCCTACAACAGGGTAGCATAGGCCTAGGGTTTGATTTCTCGTAGATTATTACTATTTCTCTTTCCATTCAAGATCCAAAATTAATTTTTTGTTGCTTCCCTTGGGCCAAAGGATGTGATTTTACTAGTCCTCTTTTTTCCATGCCCAGAGGCTCTTTCAGGTGGCAAGGGCGCTGCACCTGCCTGCAGCCTCCTCCAGGTAGCCTAGGGCCAGTTCTCAGTGACCACCAGGACGTTAGCACCCCTCTTCACACCTCACTGCTGTCTCATCTGTGCGGTGTTGCCATCTCCCCGTCTGCGGCCACCGCACTGGTCTCCTAGGGCCGCCTTGACAGAACACCACAGGCTGGGCAGCGTGGGTAACAAGTTACCTTCTCATAGTCCTGGAGGCTGGAAGTCCAAGATTAAGGTTTTCAGCAAGTTCAGTACCTTCTGAGGCCGCTCCTTGATTGCAGGCAGCTTGCTGTCTCTGGTGGTCTTTTCTCCGAGTGCCGCCCTGCTGTGTCTCTCAGGACACCAGTCCCACTGGGTCAGGGACCCCCCACATTGCCTCATTTTCCCTTCTCTCTTCAAAGGCCCTGTATCAGCCACAGTCACATTCCGAGGAACCAGGACTTCAACATACGAATGAGCGAGTCACATTCAGTCCATAATAGTTGTGTACGTGAAGTTTTGGGTCTACTTTTTGAAGCATTTAAGTTTCTTGTTCGTGGAAGTCCTCTACGCTGATTTAAGTGCTTCAGACGTTATCTGAACACAGGTTTCAAGATGCCATTCCCCAAAATGATGACTAAGAGCCCATGATATAATTCTAAGGTTATCTTTTTTTCTTCCTGGGACACAAGAGGTTATTTATTGTAAGATTTCCGATGGCATTGTTTCTAGGGAGGGAAACTGTTTGCAGATGCCAAAGCCAGGTCAAGCCCTGCTCTGACAGTTTGGCTGATTTCAGAGGACAGTTCCCCTCCTGGCACAGGGCTGCCCTAGGGATTCTGGAGCAATGCTACCTAAACACTCCTGAAGTTGGGGGGCTTGTCCTAAGGAATGGTGGGCGGTATTTTTTAAAAGTTTTTAGGTCTGTGCAGCAGAAGATTCCACTGGTCTATGTCGGGGTTTAGGAATTTGTAACCTGTAAAACCTCCTGCAGGTCACCCTGATTCTCAGGTGGTCAGACTGGAAGTGGACACGGGGCAGACTCTGCCCCCTCCGGTGCTGCCGTCTGGTGCTGCTCCCGGGCTGGGGTGGGAATGGCACGGATGGTGTGGAAGAAGGGGTTCCTGGATTCAGGAAAGGCAATCTGACATTTCTTGACAGACATGTATAAGCTTTTAAGAGTGTGATTAAGAGTGATGAGTTTATTTTCAATTGTCCTTGATTGAAAAGAAGTATATGATAAAGGATAAAAAGTAGGAAAAATCTTATCAGGGAGAATGAAGGCAGAAGGCATTCTAAGCAATAGAATGAATACAATAAGCAAGTGAAACTAAATTTTAAAATATTTTTAAATAAAAAAAACTTTTGCCAAGAGGGAAGGGGGATAATGGGGAGAGAAGTGGAAGGGTCAAGGTAAGGAATGTGTATGAAGAACCATGGACAAGGACAACGAGGGGAGGGGCAGGGCCAGGGCCGGGAGAGTCATGGGGGGAGAAAGGGGACAACTGTAATTGAACAATAAAAAATTTAAAAAACAAAAAACTTTTTAAATGACACAAGTAACGCATTCTCCTGGTGCAAATGCTACCACACAGAGGGGCAGTTCCTCCACTCCCACCTGCTGGCTCTGAGGCCTCCCCGGGACCACGCACACCTGCCCTCTCCACTGGTTTAAACACACACAACGCTGGCCAGTAACTTGCTGCTTGTTTATTCAGTGGTACATCCTGAGTACCCTGCCGGTTCAGGACCCACAGATCCGACTCACTCAACAGCTGGATGTGGCTTGCGTGCAGTGTCATGATGGATGCACTGCGATCGATCTTACCAGCCCCTTAAATAATGATCAGATAGGTTGATTCCCTTCTTTTACCCTTATAGGTAATGCTGAAGTGCATATCCTTTTATGTATAATGTAAATATCATTTATATATAGAAACAAGTTATATGTAATGTATATATTTCCTTGCACTTACGCAAATGCTGTTGTAGGCTTGACTCCTGGGTGGAAGGAAGTGCCGTACCCTTCCCCCTTTCTCCCTGTGACCCATTTCTGACAATTTTACGCGTTAAGCAAGAAATTATTTCAATTTCAAAATATGGCAAATACATTCATCTTATAAATACATGTACACAATACGATAATTATATTCAGTATGATATGTAGTCATGTACATTAACTATAACAGATCAAGTATCACCTGGAGCAGACATGGTATCAGGACTTGGCGAACCTCAGGACTGAAAGCATTTCCTGGCCTGTGCGCCTGGAGAGGGCAGTGGTCCCCTGCAGGCCTTTCATCCTCATTGTTCTCAGAATTTCTTCTGAAATGAAAATTAGAGGGTAAAATCCCCTGGAGTCATTTGGTAAGGTGTATATAATCACTAAACAGTATAATAAGTAACAGACTATTTATACATATATCCGTAAATTTCTATTAAAGTGAACTTGGACTTCAGACACATGAGAACACTTTGCATTTCCAAGGTGTTGCTGAGAATTCTTATCACACTCTGGACTCAAAAGAAATGGTAATTACACTTGTTATTACAGTAAGTCAAATGAAGTAACATTTCTTTTAGAAAAAGCAAAACCTTCCCTTTTATAAACAACACCAAAAAGACTAACCAAATGGAGTTAGCCAAAACAAAAACCCTCACCTAGCCATCATAATGTGATTTCAGGGGCTAAGAATAGCAGGTAGAACATGAAATTTTCAAACTGAGATGTACAGCAAAACAAAAGATTGTAGTCAATTTAGTTACATAGTCTGCAAGCTGAGGTATAAAAATTCGTACCATGAGATGGCTTTCATGGTAAGACTCCAGGTGAACTAAAGGGCGCACAACAGAACTGACCCAGGCGGGCGTCTCGACCAGAGGAGGAAACATCCCCAATATTGAGGGTGCAGTGTTAGGAGAAAAAAATTACAGATTTTGTATTTGAATATTAGTTTAGGAATTGGGGGGAAACTGCTCCTACCCCACAAAACAATACCTTTTAAATTCCCCAAACCAACCTGTGAAAAATCCCTCTTTCAACATGTTTTGTCTGTATTACCTGTTATCAATGATTACAGTCATAACATTCCCAGTTACTTTAGAAATTAACAGTCTTTGACATCATTAACTTCTGAATTCAGCAAAGTCCATGGTTACCCAATAAACGCATCTGTGTTACCTGGATTGTTTTCCTTAATAGTAACCAAGTAGAATAACCCTCTTGGCGAGAGGAGATCTGGAACCACTGGAAAGAACCTGTCCATGACTTCGCGACCATTTCTGCCACCAGCCCAGGCCGCTTCTATTCCGTGACTTCCTACCTGTGACCAATTAGGAAGACTCTTGACTCAAGTCAAGTTACATTTAAAGTCACAAATCTTTCTGACAACATTCACCGAAGAGTATGTATTTTTTATTCTACTGCCTTGCCAGAGAATGATCAAGAATGAAACAGGCACCATAACCCACTGTTAAACTTCATCAGCCTCAGGCATTCTCTCTTTAAACGGGGAAGTGGTTACTATGAGTCACCTCTTCATCACTGCATTTCTAAGATCATGTGTTTCAAGATACACCTTTCCACCCTGACCCTACTTCTTGACAATAACGCCTATGGAAGGAGAAAACCTTTCAAACCTTTCAAAACGCATTCCTATGTGAATTGAAGGGTGATTAAAAATATCATTTTGCAGATCTTTCATTCCCGACAAAGGGTGAGTACAGGTGTGCACACACATGAATTAATTACCATAGCCTGACTGGAGCAGGATTTTCAAAGATACACGTGGGCCCATTTGTATTTCCACCTTTTTTTTTTTTTCTGGTCTATCAATAATACCCAATCATTCACAGAAGCAAATCAGAGCAGTTTGTTAATCAGCAGCTGGCGTCATATGATGAACTTTATCTGATTTTAGAAGCCAGCAGATAGCACTAACGATTAAATTTTGTTACATGTCTTACCTCCTCAGATGGAGTCACTACATAGGGGGGATTAAACACCAGAAGATCAACTTTTTCCTTCATTCTTGGTAGCAAGCCTTGGACCTAAATGTTCAACAATTGTCAGACTTTGAAGCCAGATGTAATATAAATTAAATCAATTGTCTTTAAAAAATGTTTTTCACCTGGCTGGCGTAGCTCAGTGGATTGAGCACGGGCTGCGAACCAGTGTCGCAGGTTCGATTCCCAGTCAGGGCACATGCCTGGGTTGCAGGCCACGGCCTTCAGCAACCGCACATTGATGTTTCTCTCTCTCTCTCTCTTTCTCCCTCCCTTCCCTCTCTAAAAATAAATAAATAAAATCTTCAAAAAATGAAAAAAATAATGTTTTTCTAAAAATACGTGTTAGAAGACCACTATAATAAACAGAAATGGTGATGACTATTTTTACATTGTCATTCAGGTAAAGATTATATGGATTTATCTAAAAATAAGGAAACTGAACTCTCCAAATGAAGATGATGTTTAGGAGCTTTGGCTCTTCAGCAGCTCACTTGTCTACAGTGCAGGCTCTCTTTCTGAAAACAAACTAAGGAGGGAGGTCTAATCCTGCACTTGTGTTCTATTAACCAAGAGAAAGGTTTTCTGAGAGGAGAGAAGACAGCAGATTGAGAGGCACATGACCCAAGGGTTTCTTTCCTAGAGTTCAGGTGTGCCTGAGGCCACCACTCTGCTGAAGCCAGTTTGAACCCGATTCTCGGTCACTGTGACAGGCAGATGCCTGATGCAGACAAGCCAACAGAAACTGCCTGTGAACTGTGGACAACAAGGGTTCTATCAGTCTAGAATTTACTTTGTAACCTATGAGGTATACTGTTTAATGGGTTAAAAATTAATCAAGTTTCCTTGACTTAAATCATCTTGACCTTATTTCAAAAGGAAATTATTATTGGGCAAGGACTACGTCTCACCAAATCTGTGATTATGGGCTGTATGTGAACTCTGTTACAACGTGCAGTCTCCAGGGTGCAAGCGGCCGCTCCAGGGTTGATGTCAGTGCACCTACAAACAGAAAAGAAAACTACATTCTCTGTCCATGAGACAGATCTATGTCTGAAAAATTCAAGGAATACTCCATTCCTTTTACATGAAGCAGAAAAAGAACACAGATTTGTCATACTGATAAAATAGTATTACATTGATAAGATGTGCATGAGCAGAAAAGTGCACGTAACTGTACACACCTGAAGGACTTCATTAAATTGTGAATCCAATGAAGGAATACTATGTGACCATCAGAAATGAAATTTAAAAGGAATTTTTTAGAGGAAAATGCTCATGAATGATGTTAGTAAAAAACATAAATGAAAATAAACAGAAGGAACAGTTGGACCATGTGTGGTACAATTTATGGGTAATTTTCATTTTTATACTTTCTATATTCTCTTTTTTTAAAAAGAAATTCTGATAACTTGAAATTTTTTCTGATAATCAAATTATTTACCTAAAAAAATTTTCAAATTTAGAAATGACCTAAAATTCTTACGCTGCTTCTATAATTACATAGTGTGATGGAACAGATTTGAACATGCAGTTATAACTTTTAGGAAAGTTAATTTTCAATCTGAGTCCTTACTGAACTAAAATAGACACGATCAGATACTTATCTACGTACAAAAAATGACTTCATTCAAGCAACACTTATGGTCCTTAGAGTGAATCTCTCAGTGGAAGATGTGTGTGAATTGATTTTCTCACACTTACATGTACAAAGCTTGAGGACCTATCATGGAGGCTAGGAACGTGGATACCACTCCAGACCCTGACCCTACTTCAAGGCATATTTCCACTCTAAAAGAGAAAATATTCGTACAGTAGCATTAAAATACATGTTAAGAAAATAACATGCTTTCATTTTTATTTTTAATTATTTTAATTATTGTTCAAGTTCAATTTTCTATGTTTTACTCCCATCCCAGCCCACCTACCCAGCCCTCCCCACCTCCCTCCCATTTGCACCCACTTACACTACTTTTAAATTATATTTCTCTAGCATTATCAGTCACCTGCAAATGTATGGAAATGTATAAATAAGGTAATTTCTGACAACTTTGTGCTCATAATACTGCAGAGTTCAAAACTTAAAATTTTGGGTGTGTAATTTTAAGTCCATAAAATAGTAATACGATGGCTTTCAATTAATTTCTGCAAAACATTACATAAAATCTATGGAATAATGCTAATTTAGGGTTTGAGATTTTAATATGAAAGACATCAGCCCTTTCCAGAAGGAGCTCCTAGTTTAGTATTTCCTAAAATGATGTTAGTACTATTACAGTATTTTTTTAGATTGAAATATTTTATCAAATCATATGTGAGATATTTTACTTTGGTGGTATACAGTATTTATTTATGAAGGACATTTCACTATCATTTAAAAGTATAGAATTTTCATAAACTTATGACCACATATTAGGGATAAAAACTTGCCTAATTGTACCGATAATATTAAAGCAGCAAAGAAATTTTATATTTGTACTACTAAATACTGAATTGGGAAAATACTGAAGTATGTGATCTGGGAATATTAATAGTCTTAAGAATGCTACTGAACATATTCACCATTCTGTTGTATTTTGTCCTTAAATTTACTTCCTTGCCTATAATCATATATGTCAGAATAACCAATTATCCCCATTATGGAAATGTTTGATGGGATTTAGGGGTCTAATATTTAACTCCCCAAACAACAGCCCAAACTCTAGGGGTTTCTAACTTTTGGACCCAGTCCGCTTCTGGCAAACTTTTTATGCTGCAGGAAGGTGTGTTGAATCTCACCAGGCGACTTTTATTCAAAAATAACTGTTTTGGTCTCAAAGTTCCAAAAGCAGAATATCCAAGACACTAAGAAAATTAGCTCCCTTTTACAGCGCACTGTGCAACCTGATTCACGCTTCTAAACTGTTCTGGTATCCTGAGCTATAAAACAGTACCATTCTAGATTCCAATTGATGGAAAAGTTCCCTTGTTCACAAAGAAAAACTAGTTAATTTGGGAAAACCAGTTAATCAGTTTCATACATGGAAAAAATCCAGCCGGGTTTAAAAGGGATAAACAAATACAGATCTTTGAAGCCTGACAGCTGTTTCATCCTGCGCCAACCCATTTCAAGTCTTTATCTTCAAATACATCTAAACGCCCAAATTTTCCAATTAAAAAAATTTACAATGTAGGTATTCTTTTTTGTTGTCAGTTTGAAGTTTATGGTGAGCACGTCGACAGGCATGAAGATTTATTGTTTATAAGGAGCTAGGTAAAACTGCGTAGGCTGCCTGCTGCACGTAACTAAACGTCCTACAACTGAAAACTTCAGATCCGCGGCCGCACCTGCAGCACCTTTCAGGCTGGAGCCAAGCCCCACGCCAGCCTCCTCCTCCTCCGCCAGTGCCCGGACGCGACGCGCTGCTCGGGTCACCGTCCGACCTAAAAAGCAGAGTCTGGGCGCGTTCGCTGCCGAACGTGCCGTCAGATCCCTGCTGTCGGGGGCTCGTGCGCGCTCGTCCTCGCCGCCTGACGGGAAAGGACGCGCCGCCGCAGTGGGAGGAGCTTCGGCACCGACCGACCGCACCCCTGCGCACTCGCCACTCTGTGACCCCGGGGTCTCAACCTTTGCCTGGGGGGTGATCCCGCCTCCAGACAGGGCGACGGCGACAGTCCTTTCCTTGGCTGTGTGCCGCTGCCTCGAGGACCCCTGATCCCTGTCCTGCGGGGACCCCCGTCTCGCACCGCGTGAGCTCGGCTACAGCCGCCTCGAGAGCATCCAGGAGCAGGAACGTGTCCTCTGCAGGCTCGTACACATCGGTGAAGGCGCCGCGGCCCACATGCCCGTGCAGCGGAGTGCAGACGCTGGGCGCCGCCATCTTTCTCCAGGGCGTCCCACGCTCAAGCTCCGACACTGAGCATGCGCAGTAGCAGGATGCCGGCGCGGGGGCGGGGTGCGGTGTGGTGGGTCGCCTCCAGGCTGATCGCCTGTGACCGGTTTTCAGCAGGTGGTCTTGGAACTTTAGGTGAACTGTGCGTTCCTGACAATTGCTTTATTCTTTAGGACATTTGCATGTATGTCAGCTTATGAATCAGCACCTGACAGTCCCCCTCAATTGTTTTCGAGTAAGAGGAATATTTATAGTGCATTTACATGTTTTCTGTTCCTAGTTAGCAAAGGATTGAAAAATACGCGGTGGTTAAGAAATTTTACTTTTTCTTTATTTTTACATCATTAAACTTTAAACTTTCAGTTTTAAGATTGGGATTTTTCTTTTGATGAGCCCACCTTATAATTCTGTTGGTATTAAAATTGATCAGTTATCAATTTATTTTTATTTTGTTTTAGTTTGTGCACTTTTTATCTAACCAAAGAAATTTTTCGTTTAACCCAAGATCGTAGAAATAACCTCCAGTGGTTTTTTTCTAGAAAGCCGACACTTTTACTTTTTATATTTAGTCTGTGACCTCTCTAAAATTAATTTTAATGTACAGTGTGAAGTAGAGGTAGAGACTTAATTTATCTTTGTAATTTTTAAAGATTATTTATTTATTTATAGAGCGAGGGGAAAGGAAGGAAAAAGACACATCAATGTGTGATAGCCTCTTGTGCACCCCCTACTGGGGACCTGTCCCACAACCCAGGCATGTGCTCTGACTGGGAATTGAACCTGTGACCCTGTTGTTCACAGGCAGGCACTCAGTCCACTGACCCACACCATCCAGGGTAAGATATGTTTTCATGTGGACATGCAGTTGCTCTAGGGTAACTAACTGAATAGATATTCCTTTCCCTTTTGAATTGGTGTAGGACTTTTGTTGAAAATACATTGATTGTATGTGAAAAAAGATTGATTTTTTTATTATTTGTTTTACTTGTGTATTTAGCAAAAATCACCTTCCTCATGCTGAATCATGAATGTGCTCTTTTTACAATATAAACCTCCCCCAAGAAGATGCATTTTCTTGTAAGCACACCAAGGAGCTGGAACACGAATGAGCTTGTGGTCTGGTTTCTGGAGGGAGCTGTCTTCACAGCTCCAGGTGGGACTTGGTTTCTGGGTAGGGCTCAGCCTTAAAGCTGCCCGGGCTTCCTGTGTTTTTTAAAGAGGCAGTTAGTTCTCTTATGGTTTAGGGCATCGACTAGTGGATATTGGACTGTTCTGTATCTGCATTCTTTCTGTCAATTTTTTGAAATTTCCCAATAAAACATTTTTACACCTAGTTTATAAGAATTACATATGACAAATGAAGTGCATGTTCTTTCTGTAGTCACCTTCAGTTGTGTGTTGTAAGCCTCGCTCCAAGATAATTTCTCTCATAGATTTAGTGTACCCACTGAATGCATGTTTTTATACTTCTCCATTTACGGATTCATAAACAACATCTACTTTATCACTGGTACTCAGTTGGACATACTGCTCTTCAAAGTTTTTCACTCAACATTGTAGGAGATTGATCTTTTGGTATTTGTACTTTTAATTATCATAGCACTGTATTCCTTGAAAATGTAAAACATTTTTATTTCTTGAATATTGGTAAAAATTTAGTTCTTTCGAGGTTTTCACTATTATGAGCAACTCTGTAACTGACTTCTTAAAACATGTGGGACCTGATGCTGTGGAAGGTTTTCTGGGGCCCAGCCCGGAGCGGAGCGGCGGAGTCGGAGCGTGCGCACACTTTCGGTTTCACTGTTTTAACTGCAATTTGAGGTTGGGCAGGTGTGTTCGTTATTTGAGTTTCTTCCTTTGTGAATTGTCTCTTCATTTAAAAAAAATTATTTTGATCAAAGTTGGTAACACTTAACAGTTTAGTAGACTAAACGCTTGTACACTATTTGTTTTGAACAAACGATCACTCCAGCAACCCAACACCCAGTTTCCTCAGTCTCGTTCTCCAGTCGGAGACCCTTTCCAGCCTCGGCTGTTTCGTTGGCTGCCCGCGAGCCTGGAGTAATACTGCTTCACCGCCGAACCCGGCGTTATCTGCTGCGTCCCCAGGGCAGGGGTCCAGTCCTCCGGGAGAAGGGACGGACGTAATTCCCCGGGGGCGGCCGCGCCTCGGCTGGCCGAAGCCTCTGGAGTCCCCCGGGGCGACAGCTGCCCTGGAAGCCCCGCCCGGAGCCCGCAGCTGGGCCGGGAGCCTGAGACGCGGCGTCTGGGCTCCAGGCCGCGGGGCGAAGAGCCCGCCTGCCCCCCCCCCCCCCCCCGTTGGAGGAGCAGGTAACCCGGCGCGGAGGGGTGACCGCGTCCCTGGAACCCGCCAGCACCGCGGAGCACTGGGCGGCGGCCCGCCACCGTGGGATGCGGCCGGCGCGCTGGGGACCGCGTTCTGGTGCCTTCAGCCGGTGGCGCAGGTCGCCGGAGGGTCTCACGGGGCGGCACCGGGGACCCGACCGGCTTCCTGGGCCGGGGGACCCTCTTCAGGGCCGGCTTCTCTCTGAATCTCTGCAAGGGCCGCGGGGAGTCCTGGGCTTGGGCAACGGCCCCGCCCGAGGCGTGCCGGCAGTTCTGGCTGCGGTTCTGTCGGGCCGGTTCGTGGGGCACAGAGGCTCTGAGTCCGGACCCGCAGCCGAGACGCCCGCCCGCCCGCGCTTCAGGCGGGGGCTGCTCACGGGAGACGGGGACGCACCACGGTTCCGCGACGACAGCAAAGACCTGTTCCCCACTAGCACCCGGCGCGCGCCTCGAAAACCCCCACCGGGGGCTGCGGTCCCCCCAAGGCTTTCCTGGGGCCAACGCTCCGGGGCCGCACCGCTCCCTACGGTGCGGCCCCCACGTCTCACGGGGGCGGGGGTCCGCACCTCCGTGCAGGGGACCCTTTTCCGCGCCAGGCCAACCACTGCTGCTTCCTGGAGCCCTGGGCCCTGCCACGCCGTCCAGGCCAGCGGGTGACCCGGCTTCCGGGCAGCCATCCCCACGCCCAGGGGAAGAAACCCTCGGAAACAGGGAGGTGCAGCCCCCCACGCCGGCCGGGAACCACACTCGGGGACCGGGGATCCGCACACCCCCCCTGGCTGGGGGCGGGGCGGGGGCTGCCGCAAATGGCCGGGTTTCCCCCCGACTCGCGGCCTCCCGGTCCGCTCGCCGGCCTGCAGGCGCGAGCCGGTTCCCGCGTCCTGGCTGCTGCGGCTCCGCCGCGGCGAGGATGGGCGTGGAAGGACCTGGCTCCGAGGGTGCAGCCCCGTCACGACTCCTGGGCCGCCCCGGGGGGGGAGGCCGTCATCTGAAGGAGGAAGCAGAAGACAGTATCTGTTCTCTTTTAAAACACCCTGCTTTGAACTTCCCCGCATGGAATCCGCCCGCAGCACCCCGCCAGGGGGGACAGTGTGCGGGGGGCGCGGGGGGGGGGCTGTGTGCAGGCCTGCTGGCTGGAGTCGGAAGGCGCACTGAACTCACGCTGCGTCCCACTGTGTTCCCGCAGGAACGACGGTCCTGGTTCGGGTGCGGCTCTTGTCACCTTCCCCCCACAAGCGCTTTCGCCACGCGGCCACCTGCCCTTCCGCGTGCGCCCCGCGCTGGCGGCTCTGCGTGTGTTCACCGCGAGTTCCCCTCCCACGCACTGCAGTGGCGTCTGTCTTTTGCCCACCTTTCCAGCTCCTCGTCCTGTTTTCATTCCGCCGCCCGACTCCCCACTTTAAAAGTGACCCTCTCCGTGAGTGTCTTCTTCACGTGTCCTCTCATGAACTCGGTGTGAGCCCCTGTCTGCTGCGCCTGTCCCCCAGCTAAAGCCTCGCTGCGGCAGAGCCTCTGGAGGCAGCTTGTCCTCGCCTGTTTGTCGTGCTCGCCATGGCCCGATCACCTCCTCTCCCGGGAATTCTCCCCTTTCCAGACGCCACACCAGCGAGAGCTCCCTCGCCAGCGCCCTGCTCTCTGTGCCTCCTCTGGCTGCAGGCACCGCCTGCCTGACGCCAGCACACACACTAGCCAGCACTGGCCTTGACTGGACTCTCGTTCACACACACAAACCAACCAACCTTGCCCTGCCCTGACCGGTGTGGCTCAGTGGGTTGGGCATCGTCCAGCAAAGCGAAATGTCGCAGGTTTGGTTCCCGGTCAGGGCACAGGCCTGGTTGCAGGTTCGGGCCCCTGTCAGGGTACCTACGAGAGGCAACCAGATCTGGGCTTCTCTCTCACATCGATGTTTCTCTCCCTCTCTTTCTCCGTCCCTTCCCCTCTTCCTAAAAATAAAAAAATAATAAAATCATTTATCAAATAAATGTAAGTAAAAATAACCTTCCTTGGTCTGGCTGGGTAGCTCAGGCGTGTGGAGTGCTGTCCCCAGACCCCGAGGCTGCAGATTCGATCTCAGGTCAGGGCACGTCCAAGAAACAACCAATAAATGCACAGATAAGTTGAACAACAAAATCGACATTTGTTCTCTCTCTCTCTCCCTTCCTCTCTAAAAAAATCAAGCAATCACAAAATTTAAAGCAGAAAACCCCTCTCTTTTGGTGGCCTGGACTGTCTCCCATTGTCATGGTTTCAGATGTCACTTCCATTCCGCTAGCTTCTGTTTTGCATCACCTGCTCACGAATCTTCATCGCAGTTTATGTCCACAACTACATCTCGTTCTTAGCTGTTTTCTTTTGAATGGACCGCTAAAGCCTAAATGGATGATATCCCAACTGAGTTAATTGTCTTCCCTTTAAGTATCAGCTGGTGGCTTGTAACGTCGCAGAAGAAAAGCTGTGTTTGTGGAAGTTCTGGTCAACTTCTCTTTTGTTGTCTTTCATAATGGTCACTGGACCATCTGCCATCCACAGGGGTTTTGGTTTGCTCTTCTGCACATGTGAAGGAATAATTGGTTAATGTTCCTTTGTATTCAGCATTTCTCACCATCCCATTCCATTCGACCAGTCTCTGGCCTATTGTGGTCCCTGTGGGTTCAAGGCCCAGCAGTGGATCAGAGGACTCAGGAAGCTGATACTCCAATCAGAGCACAGACCACAGTGAGTGCACTGCACGTACCTGAGACCACGCAGGGCCCGTCAACTGTCAGGGCTGAGTAACTTTTTGTGAACTTGAAAGATCTGGTTGATCTTACTTTGCACAGGCTAACGCTGCCGGTGGTCTGGCCATTGGCGATGCAGGCAGAGCCTGCAGAGGGCTGAGGACAGCGCACAGTCAGATAAACAGGTGCACGGTGTGGACAGAGAGATGAAGAACGCTGTGAGTGGGGCTGCAGGCAGCATGAGGTCAAAGCAGAGGTGAGGCAGAGCCAGCCCCCGGGTGGCACTCCTGGTCACTGTCACAGCTCATCAGAGGATGATGGGCAAGGACAGAGGCTCTGAGGTGACATCTGAGTTGTTCTCCGGTTGCCTAATGGCCGGGAGAGTGATTGAACTGTGCCATTCGCTTGCAGGTACCCGTTTGGACTCATTTTTGCCTCTGGTGCCTCTGTGGGCGTGAGCAGCTGGGTGGCAAGGTCTCTGTTGCAGGGGGTGAGGGGCTGGGGTGGCAGCACAGGCTGCAGTGCCATTGCTCAGAACCCCGGATCCTTGTTTCCGTTGCTCCGGGCATGCTGCAGTTCCTTGACCACAAGGAGAGACTTGACTGAGATTCGGGTCTGACCTCGAGTCTGTGAGCCGGCCCAGCGGCCGTGAGAGTCCGCAGGTCCCATCTCCTAGCCCCATGGCCAGAGGGACCGCAGGGGCTGCCGTCGCCCGCTGAGGACCCCTGCCGGGGCGCTCCGGCTCCCACCGCACCTGGAGGCGGGCCTTGCAGTCTCCTCTTCACCTTCTGCTGCCCTCCAGAGTGTCTTTGGGTCTGTGTCCGGTGTGTGCAGGGCTTGTTCGTGCCAGGGAGTCCGTGCACCGACGCCATCACCCCGCACACGTGTGCACCTGCACTCGTGAGCCCTCGAGTCAGCCTGCGTCCCACAGGTCAGGGACTCTCCGGCCGAGCTCTGCTCAGGGGTGTGAGGGCCGATGGCGCGCCTTCAAGTAGAGAGAGCCCTGAGCTCGATGACACGGCAGCGCCTGTGGCCGCGAAACGTCTTCCTGCCTGGCGTGGCTCGCTGTGCCTCCCCGCCCCTCTCTTCCTTCTCAGCATCCCGAGCCCACCGCCAGCCCCGGACACTCCCCGTGGTGCCGCCCAGCGCTGTGCTCACCTGCTGGTGTCGGTTCTTGTGGGAACCGACTTGCCACCTCTAGGTCCACCTGCCTTTGTAAACTTTCCCAAACAAAACGGGCTCCACACCATCGCCTGCGGGACGGTCCCTGCCAAAGGTCCTCGGGCCCCGCGCCCCGCCGGTCACACAGCGGGTGGTCCTGAAACTGCTCTGAACCTGAGCGGGTTGTCGGGCCTGCATGCTGGGCACGGCCCTCACCAGCGGGCAGCTAGTCCTCAGGTTTCAGAGATTCTCCCGTGTCTGCTGGCTTTTTAAAAGTATTAATCAGCCCCAAATAATCCTCGCACCAAAGAAGCATATTTGGGGGCCCAGGGCACATTAGGGGAGGGGTGGTGGAGGGGAGATCTTGAGGTGAGCGGGGGTGGGGAGCAGAAAAGGCAGCCAATACTGTCCTGAGCCCAGTCTCAGATCTTAAATTAAGTGACCAGTTCCCCGGGGACCAGTTTTCCTGAGCACCTCACCCAGATGGGACACCCATCCACGGTCAGCGGGCACCACTTCTGGTGTCAGGTCACTGAGCACGGCGCCGTCCGGCCTCCCAGGCTCTTAGGAGGCAGAGCTGTCTCCTAAGCCGAGGTCCTTCAGCAACGAAAGTTCTCAGCTATAAAAATGTGATTTCACAAGTGATAAAAGAAAGACTCTGATAGGTTTGTTCTGTGTCCAAAAGAACATAGCTAGTAAATGGCAGATCCAGGCTCAGACGAAGTTTAAAGATGTGAAGGTCAAGAGTTCCCTCTGTCAGAGCCGTGGCAACTGCACACAAAGGAGTGCAGATGGTAGCAGCAGGCACTGGGGCACAGCAATGGCAGGGAGAGGCCAGGCTGGGTGAACAAAGGAAAGGGGTCGGTGTGGGGGAGGGAGGAGGGAGGGGGGATGAACAGTGCTGGCGGAGACTTGCCTCCGGCTGGTGAGCACTGTGTACAGGGCATGTGCTGTGGAGTCGTGCACCTGAGACCTGGACAAGTTTGTTAACCAGGGTCACCCCGATGCATCCAATGAAAAGGAGAAAAGACTTGTGTTGCTGTCGGCACAACAATTTCCATTATTATAATTTTAACTGTTCCATGTTTTCCTCTAGTACTTTTTTCTAAAATAAAAATGGCTTTGTTTGCTTCAGTTTACATAAACAATGGCGAAAAATAAAGTTGATTTAAAATCCTACCCTAGAAGTAAGAACTGTTTTAGTTATACGTGTGTACCCCTTCAGACATCGGTAAGTGGACATTTCCGGTAAGTGGACGTGTTTATGAAGGTAAACTTGCTCTCATGCAATAATGATCATTACATGGTTGTAGCTGTAGGTGACCTAGAAATAGTTAAAGCTTGAAAGAAAGCAGGAAGTGAGGTAATGTGAGAAGCTAGAAAAATTATCTTCCTCGATATATTGATGACTAAATAAAATAGTAACATCCTTGTTAGCATTTTAAATGAGTTTAGGGCCTGGAAGCACAGTGTTCTAGAAATCAGAAGTGTGTTGTTACAGGAAATGTGCCCCCGGGTAGGTACTCTGAGGAACACAGAATGTAGCAAATGTCCACATTTTCAAAGAGGGAAACTTTAGGTGGTGAAATCTGGAATCTAACAGAGCAAGACTGTTTGTTCTAAGTGACACTATGAAGCAGTTATTAAAGGGATGTATGAGCGATGGAAAGAAGCAGGGATCCTCAGAGGACTACTGTGTTTAGTCGCACGGTGATGTGGTCTCCTAAGTGGACAGATCTTCCTTTGCCTCCTGACTATTGCCTGGACACTTCTCCCCGACATTTGCAAGATGGCTTGTATTTTTTATTCTTTAAGTTTCAGCTTCAGGCTTCCTGTTCCAAGAAAGACAGCATTTCAGATGCAGGGTGCAAAGAGACATGCTGTTTGTTTTCTAGTGGAGTCTTCATGATACAGAGTAGGGTTTCTCATTCTCAGCACTATGGGCCTTTTGGGCCAGAAAATTCATTCTCCTGGGGGATTGTCATCTGCATTGTAGGTGCTCATTAGCATCCAATACCTCTGTTCACTGCCAGCAGCCTCGCTTCCCTTCCCCTCAGGAGAATGTAACATGGCTCAGTAC